CTGAGTTGGAGGTCAGCCTGATCTACAGCGTGATTTCAGGGCAGCCGAAATACATACTGAGAAACCCTGACTCGAAAAACAAGCAAATAAAAAGATTACAGGCTAAAAGCAGGCCGTGCTGACACAGGCCTTTAACCCCGGAACTCGGGAGGCAGAGACAGACAGAACTCTCTTGAGTTCTGTCTACAGAGTGAGTTCCAAGATAGCCACGGCTACTCAGAGAAATCTTGTCTCGAAAACAAAGCGAAACAAAAACGCCCCCCCCAAAAAAAAGTAAAATTACACGCTGAGCCTACGCACTTAACTTCTCTGACACAAGCCCTTTGAGTAGATGGAATGATGAGCCAAGGCTTCCCTCCCCTCCCCCACCGCGACTTTTGTAATTCTCGCCTGGGAATCCCTTTTCTTCAACATTCATCTGTCCCTCCAAGCGGCGATCTGCAGGCTGGGAAGGAGTGTAGCCAGACGCACGAGTTGGGGGTTGGGAAGAGTGAAGAATGTTCCAGGCTGACGTGAGGCAACAGCACGTATCTAAGTCTCCCCGATACCAAACTGTGGGGGTGAAGGGAAAGAGGAAGAACTCTCGATGGGGGCCGGGCAGCGTAGAGTAGGGGGCTCAGGGGTCGAGAAGGGCCATTCGCCACGGGCTTCCCAGGGCAATCCCGGGGTTCAAAAGCCGCCCCCTCCTCCAACGCCAGGAAGCCCCCGCCGAGAGCAACTCAAAGAAGTTTCTGCTGATTGGAGGGAGGAGGAGGAGGCTGGGAGAAGGGGCGTGGGTGTGTATGTCCCACTGTCATGTAAATATCCCCCGCGGGCAGGGCGGCTGCAAGGCCGACTTAAATCTCCCGCACCTGAGGCCGCCTCAGTTCCTGCGAGTCTCCTCCTGCTGCGAACGTCGGGCCTCTGCCCTCTGGCATCAGGCCACCTCCTCGTGCCATGGCTCCGAAACGGCAGTCTGCGATCCTGCCTCAGTCCAAGAAATCTAGACCCGCCGCTGCCCCGAAGCTGGAGAACACGTCGGCCTCTTTCGGCCTGTCGAAAGGAGGTAAGTTCCTCCATTGCGTTTCCTTGGTGATGGACTCTGTGATTGGCTTTTTCCCTTTCCCCCCGCCCGAGCCTTCTGGAGACGGGACCCCCGCAAACACTCGTGAAAAGCTTTCCCGCTCGGGACGGCTGGCAGTGAGGCTGATGGAAGAGGAGTAGAAAGCGCGGAGCTGGGAAACCCATGCAGAGGGGACTTCCTCCGGCCCGGGACACCACGTGGGACCCAGCTTGCCCTTCCCAGCCCCCAAACTCTCCTGTGGGGCTTCTGCCCCGGCGAATGCACCGGGCTGGGACCCCACCCCACCCCTCCAACCCCGAGTGCTGGAGATTCAAGCCCTCCTAGACCCCTCTTCCTGTTGCCGAAGCCGCCGGCCCACAACTCTGGCCTGAATTACTGCCACCTCGTGTGGCTCCCAGCTTCCTTCTCCCATCCTGCCCGAGCGAAGCTAGTCACGTGACTGGCTCCTAGACTTAAGACCTAGCCTCTCCGTTGCCCTCCAGGTACACACTAAGACTTCCGGTACCAGGGACGCTGCCCACCTGGTCCCACCCACCTCTCTAGGTTCCCCAAGGGGTGGCTTCCCTCTAGCACCCACAATGTCGCCTAAACGCCTGGAGTTGCATTTTGTCACCTCTGGGTCTGGACGCCGACTCGCCCTCTTGCCCGGAAACTAACTTGTGTTGGGGGCGGGGAGGGCGGGCGCCGCTCTCCGGCTTCTCCCTTTGAGCCTAAGCCCCTTGTCAGAAGCGTGTTTGGCCCCGCACAGAATCACCCCGTCGTACCGCTTTCCTTAATTTACATTAGGAGCCTGGTTTTCGTGCCTGCACTCTTGGCTTCCTATGTTGACCGTGAGGGCTGCGTTTCTTAGGCACAGCTTCGAGTCCGGTGTGGTCGTGTTTTCCCGCGTGCCTTGCGTCTGTTTCGTGGCAGGGGAGCAGAGGGGAAGTGTGGATTTGGCTGAGGTTTAGAGCCACCGGTGGAAGGAACACTAGAACCAAGTGGGGTCCACTTCTGTGGATCTGATACCCTTTACTGTGTCGCAGTCCTTTAAATGGTGGTAAAGACAGCGCCTCAGTGTGTAGCCCTGTGTAGTCTGGTTCTCAGCCTTTGACATGCTGGGTTAAAGGCACCCCTACACCTGGAGTTTTTCGTTTTCTTTTTTTTTAAGATAAGACTTTATGTAGCTCAAACTTGTCAGTGAGGATGACCTTGAACTTTCTGAGAGCTGGGATTACATGCGAGCACCATCGTGCTCCTGGCTGTGGAGCCCAGAACTTGCTGCATGCAAGGCAAACTACCTTTATCTTACAGCTTGCTGAGATTCAGTGCACATAAGATGACCAGATAATCAGTCCTCTTGAGATGGGTGAGAACCAAAGTGTGAGTGAAATTCTCTGGTCTTCCATTTAGTTTCCTGGCAGAAAGAGCTAAAACCACAGAGCATGGGAGGGTGTGACCACAGTTCCTCTGAGTGTGGTCAGTGGACACTGACCTGCCTGCCAGGCGCTGTACCCGGCCTCTGGAACACAGCAGACCTTACAGCAGCATGGGGAATGCAGTGCTTGGTGGCTTCCTGAAAGCCCCCATGCCCAGGGCTCTCCCCTGTTTACTGTACCTCTTGTCCTGTATCTCCTTTTCCAGTTCCCTGCCTGCATCGTGAGAAGTCCAGGGCCTAATTGGGAGGCCCCTTGGGTCTTCTGTGCATCAGGTCTCCCAATACAGGTTGTGGGTCACAGGCATCAACCTGTAGGCCAGCCTTTGGAGTTGAAAACATCTGGTTTTAGACCATGCTTTCTCATACCTTGGAGTGGCCGGTGAAGTCAGACCAATGAGGGATGGCTTGTAGAAAAGAGATTGTAGTAGAGGTGGCTCAGTGCGTAAGAGCACTTTTGGCCTTGCCGAGGACCCACCTGGTGGCTCACAACCACCTGTAACTCCAGCTGCAGCAGGAGCCAGCACCCTTTTCTCTTCCTGCCTCTCCGTGCACATGCTACACTTAGACGTGTAAAATGAATGATTTTAAAATGTTTTATGATGATACATAGGGAAAGAAAGACAGGCCTATATTTATTGTAGGATGTGTGCCAAGTTTTGTTCTTAGTTTTTTCTCTCTCTTAGGCCACATTTAAAACATTTAGGGTATTTGTGTGGGAAAGGCACAAGTTCAAGGCCATCAGCTGTCAACTAGCAACCCAAAAAGAAAAACGCTGATTTATCTTGACCGTCTCTTGTAAGGTTGGGGTTGGGGCTGTGTGGCTAAATGGCAGATGACCCACTTAGGAGGCACTAGACCTGGGGTTCCATTTTCATTACCTCAAATTTAGTGTATCTGTAAAATGCACTTGATCTTGTCTTAATATGAGTTGGTTTGAGGCTGGGGGTGTGGCTCAGTATAGAGTACTTGCCTTGTGGGTACCAGGCCCTAGTTCAATTCCCAGCACCCCAAGATTCATTATCTGTAAAATCTACTTTGTATCTTTATGAGAACTGCATGAAAATACTGGTAATGGAAGCCTAGCCCTATGCTAATGCCCCTGGTTTGGCAGGACTTGCATCAGCTAGCCTTTTTTCTTTTGAGACACTGTTGTACTCTGTAGCCCAGGCTGGCTCTAGGTCCTCCTGCCTCAGTCTCTTAAAATCCTTTCTGGCTTGGTTTTGTTTGTGACATTTCTTTGCAACTCTTTAGCATTGTTAGCTTCAGACCTTTCCCTTGTTTGTGCTGGAGGTCCCTGTGCTTGGGAGCTGTGGGTAAGAGGTTCTTGGAGGCTGTCACCAGGGTTGAGTTTACCAGTTGGAACAGATGAATGGAATTGACTGAATTTGAGCATAAGGCAGGCCAGGAAGGCTAAGCTTAATTTCCTGGAGTTGGAGACATGCGTGAAGACATCTGTATTCTTCCGCCGTGACATGTATGTAGTTGGGTGTGTTTTACACGTATTGATCACTACCATGAATGTCTCGACTATTAAAGCCACACTGGCTTATCTTTGAGCTGATAATAAACGGGGCCGCTGGAAGGTGCAGAGGTCAAGCTTAAGTTGCAGAGCACCCAGGGAGAGAGTTTCTGGGTTTTCAGGACCACGTGTTGGGGTCCAGGTGGACAGAGAGCTGCTGTCTTTTCAAGTCCTGGAATACAGTGTTTTAAGCAGAAAAGCTTCCTTCGGAAATAGTGCTTCAGGGCTTTTTATCTAAAACTGGTTTTTGCCTTTGATGTTTAAGAAGCCTAAACATTTCGACATTTGTCATCTCCAAAAATGCGCACCTCTAACCGCTGAGGTGGGCACCTGTGGCAGAAAGGTGTTTCCACACTCTGAAGGCTTAAACATTAGTGTGGTTCTGCTCATGACATGACAGTTTTTAAAATTTCAGAAACGAGGGCAGTGGAGGCGTGACTTGGCCCAAGGGTACAGCAGGGCCCAGTGAGTACACTGGATAGATGAGCGAACTGCTTGTGGCTTCGCATACAGGCCTAGAGTTTGAGTGGGTCGGATGGAGAGGAAGGTCCTACGGTGCCCCGGTGCAGAACTCTGGGCCCCTGCGAGTAGCCAGGGTACTCTAGAGCCTGTACTTCCGAGGGGCTACGCGAGCCCCCTCTCCGGCGCCCCTGTCCGCCCCGCAAAGGGAAGCGGCTCAGCTCCCACGTGATGCGCGGGTATTGGAGAAAAGAGGCCCCGCCCCTCAAGGCACCGCGCGGCGCGCAAATGTCCCGGGTCGGCAGGGGAAGGGAAAGGCGGGGGAGGGGAGCGCCGCGCGGGGGCCGGACCATGCGTCGCTGAGCCGCTTCCTCCCGCCTCTCGTCCAGGCCCCAGTGTCCCCACCGCCACCGCCACCCGCCACAGCCCCGCCCCCTGGCTTGCGGCCCCAGCCAATGCCTGCGCGGCGCGAGCCTCTCCGGCCGGGGGCGGGACTTGCGCAGGCCTGGCGCGCCTGCGCTCTGCGGACTGTCCCTCGCCGCGAAGAGGAGGAGGAGGTGGTGGAGGAGGAGGAGGCGGCTCAGGGCAATCGAGAAGCGAGCCGGAGCGCGGGGCGCGAGTCGAGGAGCCCAGCCGAGCCGCCGCCGCCTCCCCGCCTTCAGCGAGAGCCCCGGCCAGGGGCCCGCCACAACGCGCCCGGGCCTGCCTCGGCGTCAGGCCCCGTGGGCAGCGCCAGGCAGCCAGGGGGAGGGCGAGTAAGTGAGCGCCCGGAGGAGGCGGCCGGAGCGAGCGGGCGCCGCGCGTGTGGCGTGAGGGGAAGCCGCTGGCCGCCCCCTTGGCCGTCCCTTCGCTCCCCCTCCCCGCTCCCCGCCCCAACCGCGGAGGGCACCATGTCTGCGCCGACGGCCAAAGTCAGTAAAAAGGAGCTCAACTCCAATCACGACGGCGCCGACGAGACCGCAGGTGAGGACCGGGCGCGGCGGGGGCCCGGCCGCGCCGCCATCTTTCGGCCCGGGCCGCGGGGCTGCGGGGGGCGCGCGGGGAGCGCGGAGCCGGCGCCTTTTTTGTGTGTGTGGCGCGGGCCCGGGGGCCGGGGTGGCGCCGTGGCGGCTCGCGGTGCGGGCGAGGCGGGGGCGCTGCGGCCTGCGCGGCGGGCGGAGACCCCCCCTTCCCCCCGCCCGCGCTCTCCTCCCCCTCCCTCCCTCCCTCCCTCCCGAGAAGCCTCTCTTTATTGTGCTCCGCCATGATGCCTCGCTCCCATCAGCCGCCGCCGCCGCCACATGGTGCGGCCGGACGCAGCCCTGCGGCCCGGCCTCTCGCGCCGCCCTGCTTCCCGCCCGGAGCCGGCGCCGCGGCGGGACCGGGAGCCGGGGTCCGGGGCGGGGTAGGGGCGCGGAGCAGTCGGGAGGATGCTCCAGGCTGCGCGGGTTGCACACCCCACGTGGGGCAGCCACACTCGGGTGCAACGGGGATGCGGGGGATCTCGCCCGGAGGCCCTGCCATGCGGGAGCTCTCAGGGCCCGCAGGACATCTAGACCTCCGCGGGAGGGTCGTTTTTAGCAGAGGGCAGCTGCAGCTCCTAGGGCTAGTTACCGGAAATGAACCGCGCGATCGGGGCCCCTTCACGCCCACTTGGCTTTGTAAAAACCTTCACAGCCCTCACCGGACAAAAGGGCACAAAATAGGAGCACACCCCCTTTCCTCTTTATGCCTCCTAGTTTCTTTTTGTGTGGCCTTAAGTGTGTTAGGAAATTCTGCACGGCCCCGTGTTGACCAGTCTTTCAGGATTAGGTTGGAGGAGTAAGGTCCGACAGGTTGCAATTAGGGTTATACGTTCTCAAGTCTGCAAAGTCGACCTGTAGTTTGGTGGCTAACTGTTCTTTGTCAGTGTATGCTTATACTCATAAAGTGAGAGCGGTGTTTTTGTTGTTGTGTGTGTGTGTGTGTGTGTTTTTTTAAGTGGTTGTACCAGTTGATAGTATCCTAATTTCTGTTACAGCCATGGATTGGTTTCCACATTAAGTTAGCAGCTGGCACCATTCTATTGTAAGTGCATAATGTGATTAGTAATAAACACGAAGAATTTCTGAATGAGCCTAAGCCTCCCGATGACCTTTCATTAATGAAGGCCAATGATTGGACCTTTGTAAGGAAACTCCTTTAAAAGTAGTCCAGTAATGAAGTATTTCTCCAAGTAGCCTCGCAGATACCTTAATTTGTGCACGGTCCGGTAATGAGAAAGTAATTTGTCAACTGCATGCTTGAACACGTGGAGAGCATGCTGTGTAGTAAGCACATTTCTTCTAGCAGCTTTACTGTTCACATTAGACTATCAGGACCTGTAGCTTGTAATTAGGATTGAGTCTTATGTTCCTTTTTGTTTTGCAGAAAAAGAACAGCAAGAAGCAATTGAACATATTGATGAAGTACAAAATGAAATAGACAGGTAAAATTTATTCAATTCTCAATATGGAAGTTTTCTTATGGATCTGATTGGCCATCAAGTCAACCACAGGAAAGTTTTGGTGATTTAAGTCCTGTTTCTTGATTCTGGTCATAATTCCTGGCTTCAAGTAATCCTACCCCAACCTTTCAGATGCAGGGAGAGGCTATAGGTTGGGTATGCTTTTAAGGGCTATAAACTTACCTTGTTTCTTGATTAACAGCTTCACTGAAACTTTCTGCCATAGGGGTACACAATCAGAATAGCCTGGAGGCTGGGCAGTGGTGCACACCTTAGATCCCAGCACTGGAGAGCGGAGGCAGGTGAATCTCTGAGTTAGAAGCCAGCCAGCCAGGGCTACACCAAGAAATCCAGTCTCAAAAAATAATCAAAAAAGAAAAAAATCCAGGAAAACAAAAAAAACAAAACAGAACAGCCTGGAAACAGAATGTACTGAGATACAGTGTGGCCAATACTGGCTCTAAAACTAAGTCTGCTTAGTGCTTCTGGTTCGCAGAGTGGGCTTAAGCACAAGGGCTGCAGATTTCTGAGCCTAAGACAGAAAAGGGAATTAGGGGGAGCAACAGTGTTACCAAGATGTGTCAGTTTGGTATTTAGTTTTACTGACATTAGTTTTTTATTCTAGTCTTCTGGGATAAACTAGTCTGCTTCTATAAATAGATGGTTTGCAGTCCTGAAGCCAGTAAGAATGTGTGTTCTATAGTCTGGGACACAGTTTACATTTGTCAGATAATCATCATTGTCAACCTGTCTTCATTTGTTTCAGACTTAATGAACAAGCCAGTGAGGAAATTTTGAAAGTAGAACAAAAATATAACAAACTCCGCCAACCGTTTTTTCAGAAGAGGTCAGAATTGATCGCCAAAATCCCCAATTTTTGGGTAACAACGTTTGTCAACCATCCACAAGGTATGTGTGGGTTAACATTAATAACTGAGGGTTGCTAGGCCATTTGTCCTGGAGTTGGAGAGCTCTGAGGGCAGTTAAATCCCACAGAGCTATAGGCGGGGGGAAAAAGTCTGCAGTAAGCGGGTTGATTAGAAGGAACAAAGCTAAATTGCTCATTGAATTTGTCAACACAGTAAGTAGTCACCCAGTCAAACCTGAGCTGATCTGAGTTGCTTCTCTAGTGTCCGCCCTGCTCGGGGAAGAGGATGAGGAGGCTCTGCATTATTTGACCAGAGTTGAAGTGACAGAATTTGAAGACATTAAATCAGGTTACAGAATAGATTTTGTAAGTACCTAACTAACATCCCGTTTGGCACTATGACCTGAATATGTGCTTTGGTTATGAAACTTGTATATTAATTTCTGACCTTTTAATCTTTTACAGTATTTTGATGAAAATCCTTACTTTGAAAATAAAGTTCTCTCCAAAGAATTTCATCTGAATGAGAGTGGTGACCCATCTTCAAAGTCCACCGAAATCAAATGGAAATCTGGAAAGGTATTTTGTATATCATGTCTTAGCTGGACCTAATGACTAGTGCTCAGTGCCTTAGGAGATTAGTGGGTAAAAAGTGCAGAAATTCCAGTGTGTAGAGGAACACAATACTAATCATACAAAATGTTTGTTTTCATACTACATTTTCTTCCATGCTTAAACATTTTTGGTTTTCAGTTGTCATTTTTTGATACAGAGGTCTGACTTTGTAGATTTATGGTGACATACTTTTATGAAATCAGACAGTTGAGATAGATCCTGTGAAAGCAGGTTACTTTTTCAAGTACAGTTTTTGTTTAAGATAAGGGGTCTTTTATTATTTACACAGTATTCTGCCTGCATGCGTGTCTGCATCCTAGAAGAGGGCACCAGATCTCATTTTAGATGGTTGTGAGCCACCATGTGGTTACTGGGAATTGAACCCAGGACCTCTAGAAGAGTAGTAGCCAGTGCTCTTTACCTCTGAGCTATCTCTCCGGCCCTCACAAGTGCACATTTTATTCTTGCTCTTATGATCTTCTCTACTGATGTTTGCTGTGCTTTAAGGTGGGTTTGGGTATTGTGGGAAGCTAATAAAAGAAGTATTGATGTTTTCATTTAGGATTTGACAAAGCGCTCAAGTCAAACGCAGAATAAGGCCAGCAGGAAGCGGCAGCACGAAGAGCCAGAGAGCTTCTTTACCTGGTTCACTGATCATTCTGATGCAGGTGCAGATGAGTTAGGAGAGGTCATCAAAGATGATATTTGGCCAAATCCCTTGCAGTACTATTTGGTGAGTTAGTTGACGTTTATTGGCTTGAGGGTGCTGATGTGTCCTATGTCCTACAGAGTGACTTCATAAAGGACATTGCCTGGTTTTTTTAAGGTTCCTGATATGGATGATGATGAAGGGGAGGCGGAAGATGATGATGATGATGATGAAGAAGAAGAAGGGTTGGAAGATATTGATGAAGAAGGGGATGAGGATGAAGGTGAAGAAGATGAAGATGATGATGAAGGGGAGGAAGGAGAGGTGAGGAAACTTAAGCCCTAATGACTGGCCTTAGAGATTATATATATATAATAAAACTGTAGAATACAATGACAGTAGGGAACTGACGGGAAATGAGGATGCTCTGGGAGATAGGATGTTAACATCTGGGTTTTTGTTTTTGTTTTTTGTTTTTTGTTTTTTGTTTTTCACTTGTTTTTAAATTTTATTTGTTTAATTTCTCAACATGTATGTCTATGCATTTAGGACCCCTGGTATTGAATTATGGGTGATTGTGAGCCACTGTGGGTGCTGGAAACTAATCTGTGAGCATACCCTTCCTAGCCAAATGTTTATGCTTAATGAAGATTCATAATTAGTCTAATTTCTGGGAACTCTAAGTAGTGTTCCATGTTTGGTAAGGTTCGTTCTTCATCCAAAAGCTAGTGAAAGGTCTTAGAATCTGCCCTAATGGTTGACTACTCACTTGTTCTTTCAGGAGGATGAAGGCGAGGATGACTAGCACAGAAGACTGATGGATTCCAACTTTCTTTTTTATTTTCTTTTTATTTTTTTAAATTTTCTCCAGTCCCTGGGAGCAAGTTGCAGTCATTTTCCTCCCCTTAACCCTTGTGCTCAGTCGCCCTATTTTGAGGTCTCTCTTAACACCATGGTTTTCAACTTATTTGGGGGGAAATAACCTTGAGCAAAATACAACAGGAAAAGAATCTTCTCTGTTCTAAATTCATTTTTATCCTTTCTTGTCTCAAAAACTGTGGATTCAATACCAACATTGTTCTCTGTGGGAAAAAAAGCAGCCCTCTCGTTTCCCGGGCTCTCGAGGCGGAGGGTGCGAGGCCCCTGTGTAGTAGTGCATAGAATTCTAGCTTTTTTCCTTTCTCTGTCTATTGGGCTCAGAGATTACACTGTGTCTCTATGTGAATACAGACAGTTAGCATTTACCAACATGTATCTGTCTACTTTCTCTTGTTTAATAAAAAGGAAAAAGGGGGGGTATAGAAGGTCAGCAAAGGGTGGGTTTGAGGTGTCTGGGGGTTTGGCATGTTTAATTGTGATGTTTAACGGACATCCTTGCAGTTTAAGGTGACACTTTTAAAATAAAATTCTCTCCTAACGATGATTTGAGCCCTGCCACTCAATGGGAGAATCAACAGAATCTGTAGGGTTTTATTTGAATTTGACGTTCTCTGTTGTAACCTTATTTTTAATTTTTAAATTTTTTTTGTTTTCACTGGAAGGAAAAGATGCTCATTTTAAATGTTAATGTGTACAAGTTGCTTTGTTACAATAAAACCAATGTGTACACAAAGGACCTGATGCTTTTCTGTGAGAACAGATGCTCAATATGACCTTCCAAGTTTGACCTGCATAATGACATCATGTGTCAAACTTTGTTTCCCTAACTTGGTATTTTTGATACGCACTTTGCAGGATGACCTCAGGGCTATGCAGACTGAGTTAAAGGGATTTGAATCATGTCTTAATGTCTCCGTAACTGAGTGAGGGTACAGTTGCTTCCCTGGACTTGTACCCTTGATTTTTATCTCAATTTGGCATTTTTTAAAATGGGCCTTTAGTTACCTGGATATTATGACAGCACTTGCTCCCACTGTGTCACTGACCTGTTGCTCTAATGCCATCTGTATGGACGACAGCTGCTGGCGGGTCTTCATTGGCAGTGTGAACTGGCCAAGAAGGTGGCTGTCAGAGTAAGCAGTCCATGAGGTGGTCGGGAGTATTCTGTCCCAGGTATGTAGCAGAAGCTCTCAGATGTGACTCTGAGTCTGGGTGGATGAAGAGCTCTGTCTGCTCAGTGCCACTGTGCAGAGAACAATGTTTCGGGAAGCTACCTGATGCATAAGCTTTTTAATGCTGTAAAATAGAGCTAAAATTAAATGCCACTTTTTCAGAGATGATTAATGGACAGCCTGGTCAAATTCAAAGCTTTTTGATGTATAAAACTTTATAAATGGAACTACTCCATCGCTAGGCAAAGTGTAACCAAAATCTGTCTAGATGGATAGTGTGTAATTTCTGCACAGGACTCTGTTTAGTAAATACATCACTGTATACGTCAGGAATCTTGCTCCAATAAAGGAACGTAAAGATTTTTTTTGGACTGGGGTCATTCTCCTTGTTTTTATAAAGAGATTTAGAATATGTATTAATGGCTGGGGTGCCGGGGCTACTAGTTTGGCCATAGATGTGGCCCAGATACAGGTACACAGAAAGTTGAGCTGTGTACCAGATTCGTAAACACTTGTGTGACTCTAGACAGTCTTGGTGATTGAGGGAGGGTGCTGACTTGGAACTCCGTGAATCCTGACCTCAAAGTTGGGGGGAGGGCTCAGTTTAAAAATAGCTATGTGTGTACCTAACCCCTATTTTCAGCAAAGGATCACTGAGTTGCCCTTGTGCTCTATATAGTTCAGGCAATCCTTGAATTTTTGTGTATACCTATCTAAGTTTCCCCAGTATTGCAAAAGTTCAGTCTTGAGACTTTGTGAGGGGAAGGTCTTCTAGAGCTTATTATTTGTGTATTTTGCTTCCATGTATTTGCATGAGGAGCAGTTCTCTGGAAGGCCAGAAGAGGGAGTTGGGATTCCCTGGGCCTGAAGTTCCTAGTTCCTGGAAGGGCAGTCAGTGTTCCTGGCTGAGCCGTTTTTTCTAGCCCTTTTTGTGATTATGCTTTCCAAGTGGGACTAGTGGGACTGTAGGCATCAGCTGCAATGTCTTAAGTTGGTCTTTCTGGGCTGGCCTTAGGTGGGGGTGCTATGAGGCATGAGAGGACTAGCAAAATGCTTTACAGGGGTCACTGGTCAGCTCCTGAAGCCTTATGCAGGGCTTAAATCTTTTCCTCTATGTTTGTGAGACCGTTTCTTTGTAATCATGGCTGTCCTGGACTTGATTTGTAGACCAGGCTAGCCACTTCCGGAGTGGTGGGATTAAAGAAACATACCACCACACCTGGCTGAACCATTGTTTTAAAATAGAATAGTTGGCTGAATAAAAGTGCACACCTTTAATCCTAGCCAGAGACAGGTATGTTCTCTGAGGCCAGCATGCTCTACATAACATGAGTTCCAGGAGGGTGATCCTGTCAAAAGATGTCTAGCAATGTATAGCGATCTCTGTATCTACAGGGATGTGGGTACAGGGTAGAGTGTTTTCCTGGCATGTGTGAGGCCCAGGGATCATTTGCAAGCCAGTACCAGCATAGAACTTCCTAAACATAGGTATCTTCTGTCCTCTTCAGTGTCTCAAACATATTAAGCAATTGTAGTAGCCAGTGAGTTGCTTCCCATCCCTGAGATTAAATTCAGGCATGACGGTTAATTCAGCAGTGGTGCTCTCTTTAGAGCATTGTGTGCGGCTGGGCATGCTGGGGGCCAAAAGCAGGCGGCTTTCTGAGTTCAAGGACATCCTGGGCTCCCCAGAGAACCCCTGTCTGAAAGCTCCATTTGTTTATTTGGTGGGGTGCAAGCTGATGTGAGTTGGACACCAGCCTCATGCACAGAGGGAGCTCTAAGACCACCAGGGCTACAAACAGCCTGTGGATGTGAAAGTTTGTATTTTTAGGATGTTTTGAGGTTTCTTGGGTAAAGAGCACTAGACTCTCACAAAAACCTGGGTTTCCTTTGCAGCACACCCACAGAAGCACCTACAACCAACAGTACTCCAGTTCTGAAGATTCAGGTGTCACTCTTCTGGCCTCTTTGTATGCAGATGTGGAGGAAAAGCATCCACAATTAAATACTTTTAAAGTTATTTTGTGTGTTGGTGTTATCTGTGAGTGTATGCCATGTGTGTGGTGCCCTTGGAGGACAGAAGAGACCAGCGGATCTCCTGATTCTGAAATTACTGTTTATTTATGGCCTACCTAACAGGTGGTAGGATTCAAACTCTGAACACACATATCGTCCACATTTAACTTGAGGTGGGGGGTTTTGTTTGGATGTGTTGAGGCTCGGTATCTATCCCTGGCTGTTATTTTGCTATGTAGATCAGGCTGCTCTGGAATTCAGAGATTGCCTTCTGTGTGCTGACATGCTCCATCATCTCCAGTTCAAGTGTAATTTTTATCAGGTTTAATGGATTGTAGTTGTGTGATTAGAGGAGGATCATAGCAATGATGGTGTGAACAGGTGATGTCAGCACTCATTTTACCAGAGACATAAAGCTGAAGCGGTGTTGTGTAGTGGGCTGGGGATTTTTAGGTGCATTAAATTGCAGCATTTGACCCTGTCACCCTCCAGCGCTGCAGAAGGAAACCAGGAGCATATGGGCACAGAGCCTTAGCCACCTGGAAACTGGAGCCCCATCAATGCTTCAGGGCGATTTAGGTTATTTTTTTGACTTTGTGATAGAGTCTCCCTACATCCCTGCCAGTCTTTGCACTCTGATCAGACTGGCCTCCACCTGCCTCTGCCTCCCCAGTGCTGGATTTGAAGACTTAACGTGTTACAGTATGTCTTACTGTTTTCAAGACTTTCTCTGTGGCCTTGGCTGTCCTGGACTCACTTTGTAGACCAGGGTGGCCTTGAACTCAGATGTCTCTGCCTCCCTGAGTGCTGGGATTACAGGTGTGTATCACTTTGCCCAACTATAAGTTAATTAAAAAAAAAAAAACAAAAAACTAAGTGAGGGTCAGAGGACTGGGATTTGATTCTCTTAACCATCTGGATTCTAGGATCTTCATTACTGGCAGCAAAATCCCTTTATACACAGCCACTTGTCCAAAGTGGAGTTTTGGAATCCGATTATTTGCTTAGCTTCTAGGAGTAGCAGTAGTACACCTGTCCAGTGAGAGGTTTTGTTGTCTTTTGGGATTTGTGTGGGTAGACAGGCTCACTAAAGAGGTCCACCTGGTAAGACTGGACATTATTGTTGCATGCATGCCTTTAATCCCAGACCAGAGGCAGAGGTGGGTGGAGTTCCAGGCCAGCACAGTCTATAGAGTGAATTCCAGGACAGCCAAGACTGCACAGTGAAACCCTATAGCAAGGAAAAATAAGTCCATCTGAGTGCTGGAATTACAGACATGTGCCACTGTTCCTCTCTTGGAATACATTTAACTGGTAAACTGTAACACTGGGCAGCTCAAAGGGAAAGAGTCTGTCTGATTCACGATCTTTAAAGAATCATGAGATTCTTTTGCTTCTGAATGGACGCTGAAGGCATGCCTGGTGAGACATTTACTCTTAGGGCAGTATATTAAGGCCTTGGCTCACCCCTGTGATCCAGCACAGGGACATGGAGAGTTCAGGGCCAGTCTGCGTCCAACCTGGGTTGCAGGTGATCCTGTCTCAAAATACGTAAGTGGGGTCCACGGAGATGGATCAGAGATTTAGAGCACTGCTCCTGCAGAGGACTTGAGTCTGATTCCTAACACCTACATGGTGGCTCATGACTCCAGTTCCAGGAGACCTGAAGTCTTCTGACACATACATGTAGACAAGACATATGAACAAGGTTCCTTTAAAAATGTTTAATGAAAGCAGCCCCCTACCTGGGGGTTGTGGCACACACTTAATCCTAGCACTTGGGAGGCAGAGGCGGGTAGATGGATAGCTGAGGTGGAGGCCAGCGTGGGCTACATGAGACCCCTTTTCTCAAGAGTCACCCTAGCAGGTCTCAAACTCACCATCTTGCCTCAGCTTTTCTGGTGCTGAGATCCTGACCTCAGGTTTGATCACATACTGCTGGTATGCATAGGATGCCAGAAAGAAAGTCACAGTGGCCTGCCATGGGGCAGGCAGGAAGAGCCAGCTTCTCTCCTCAGGCCTTTTTTATGGAAATTCTCCGCTCCCCCCCCCCCCCCCCCCCTTTTTTTTTTTTTTTTTTTTTGCTTTTCCAAGACAGGCTTTCTCTGTAGCCTTGGCTGCCCTGGAACTCACTCTAGACCGGACTGGCTTTGAACTCAGAGATCCACCTGCCTCTGCCTCCTGAATGCTGAGATTAATAGGCATGTGCCACCATACTTAGTGGAAATTGTTTTCTCTTTCTTTTTTCTTTTGTTTTTTCGAGACAAGATTTCCCTGTGTATTCCTGGCTGTCCTGGAACTGACAGAGATCTGCCTGCCCCTGCCTCCTGAGTGCTACGATTAAAGACACGTGTCACAACTGTCTGGCTACTGTGTGGAAATTCTTGAGAGTTGCTATTATAAGGTGCAAATGTCTTTCATCCTTACTATTACCCCTCCGAGTCAACACTGAGAGAGACATGTTAGGCTCTTGTGTGGGCATGCTGGTGCTTGGAGAGGGGAGAGCCTTGTGTGCTGTTCCTCAGGAATGTTCACGGTCTTGGCCTGAAGCTGCCCAGTGAGCCCAGGGATCTTGTCTTTACTAACTAGTATCAGGGTTACAAGTTTGCACCACCAGGCTTCGATTTTTTTCCTTACAGATTTTAAGGTGGGGTCTCACTGTGTGGCCCTGGCTAGTCAGGAACTGGCTGTGCAGTCCAGTGTGGCTGGAACTCAGACATCTGCCTGATGGCATTAAAGGCCTGCGCCACAGGCTTCTTGTGTTCTGTGTTTGAGACAAGCTCTCACTGTGTGGCTCTAGCTGGCCTGGAACTCACTGAGACCTTCCTGCCTCTGCCTCCCTAGTACTGGGATTGATGGCGAGGGTGTGGTGTGCTGGGAAAAGCTCCCTCTCCAACGTGCACGTGCACGTAGGCTTTTCATGGCCCTCCAGGCTTCTCCCCAGGCCCCACCCACTATGCACTGAACAAATCCCACGTGGGTTCTGGGGATAGAATCTTTGAGCTTGTAGCACTTTACTGAACTCGCTCCCCAGCCCCAAAGGAAAAGTCAGCGGATGCACTTCGAACCAAGCCTGAGTTGGTATATATCTTATTTGTGCGTGACCATAATTTGAATCAAGGTTTACTCCGCAACCGGACCAGACCCCCGCAAGCTGCGGCAAAGCTGGAGCAGAAACGCCCCCCCTCCCTCCCCGGCCTTCCCGTCGCTAGGAAGATCAGTTGGGCATAGCGTGAGCCGCCACAGCAGCAAGGGGCCCCAGAGCCGCGGAGCTGAACTAGGGAGTGGGGTCCGGGGCGCTGCTCCAGTGCTGCCGGGAGGGGGCGCTGCTCCCCAGCACCAGCCGGGCGAGCGGGTCTCCGGAGGGGGCGCCCGTCCCGCGCCGCTTCCCGGGAAGTTTCAAGTTTGAAAGTCTGGCGCTGAGGCCCGGGCTTCCGGAGCCGTAGTGGAGCGGAGGACTGGCCGGCGAGGCGCCATGGAGCAGGAGGGGGCGGCGCGCCAGGTGAACCAAGCGCGCGCAGCGGCAGCGTTTGTGGCCCAGGGCACCCCGCGCTCTGATCTTCCCTCCGGCCTCTCTGCCTGAGCCCTAGGTTAAGACTTTCTGGTCCCCGGGTTTCCGACAGGACGGAGATCCAGCCCGGCAACATGTGGAATGTGCCATGGGCGGGGATGGGCGGCAAGTTCCTTAAAATTAGGTCTTTTAGAGACTTTCAGGCGGGTGGGAGTTTGCCAGGAGCGCAGAGGTTGGGGTGCCGGCCCTCCGGGGCGGGGCGGGGGGAGGGGAGACAAGACTGTGAGAGCAGTGGGCGTTGTCCCCAACACACCACACCCACAGGCAAGAACACGCCACCATTGGCATCGAGCTCAGCAAAGGGCTGGGAACTTGGGTCCACCGAAGGCCCACAGTGTGTAGGGGTTCGAATTAGATGTGCCACTTAAGGTGGGAGAGAAGTAATGTTCTACCCCAGGGCAGCTAGGGGTAGGAGCAGGACACTGATGGCATCCCAGTGTCAAGTCAGGACAAGAGGTGAGGGCGAAGCGTGGTAGATAGGCGCACCTCAGTCATTCAGGCAGCCTGTAGGTCTGGCGCTCACCCCTCCCAGTACCCTTCCTCCGGAGATTCCTCTTGGCCTGTCTAGCTTGTACACATTTTCCGATTTCCTGTGAGCCTCCGCCCTGCAGCAGCAGCGAGGTGACTCAGGACCCTGGTGGCCAGCAGTCCCCCAGCTCTGTGAGGGCTTTGTTTGCTCAGGCCTTTGGCTCTGGCCTTCTTGCCTGGGGCGGTCAAAGGATTTCCTGAGCCTCGCCCTTGCCCTCTGACAACTAAGGCAGGACCAGCCAGCCTAGCTGAGGCCTGGGCTTGGGAGGATGGGGGACCCCCTAAACTGAGTAGCCATTCTTTCATGGGGCTCAGGAGATGGAACACAGAGAGGTAAGAAGGATAAAATAGGGTGGCTTCCAGGATCCTTGGAATGGGAAGGGGGAGTCAGCGGTCAGCCTCTGAGAGAGAGGTTTACCTCCATGCCTCTGATCTGCTACGCAGTCATGGGGTCTTTTATTTCCTGCCAGATCCCATCAGCTCTGCTTCTGCCACACTGTCTAAGGCAGAAGAAACAAGTTTTGGGGTTTTGGGCCCCTGGCTGCCTCCTGCATGTGACCTTGAGTGAATTTTTTGCATGTATTACCTCCCAGATTCATCTTGGTTCTGGGACCTAGAGAAAGCAGTGTAGCTGCCTGAGAGAGAATGGGGTTCTTCATTACACAGTGGCGGAGCCTCTGTGTTGCTTGTGTGAGTTCTTGCTCCTGGATAAAGTGAGAATGAGAACAGTGTGTGTGGATCTGTGGCACAGCTCTTGCTTACTTTCCCCAGTACCACAAAAAAGCAACTGCACAGACTAGTAGGCAATGTGTTGTTAGAGTGCTTTGATCTAGAACTCGGTACCCAGAAAGCACCATGGGAACCTGGTCTGTTTTCTCTCTCTCTTCTCTGAGAGAGAGACAGGAGCTAGACACTGCAGAGTTTTGAGACACCCTGGAGCTGGGCCTATTGCGTCTGTGCCCCTTTGCTGTGGCGGTGGGTAAGCTAAGGCCTCTCTGCCCTTTGCAGCCTGGGACTGGCCAGAGGGTCCCCAAGGATGAGAAGGAGACCCTTCGTCGAGCTATCCAGAAGGAGTTGAAGATCAAGCAGGGCGTGGAGAACATGCGGTGCGTGGCCACGGACCGACGCCACCTGGGCCACGTGCAGCAGCTGCTGAGGGCCTCCAACCGCCGCCTGGAGCAGTTGCACGGCGAGCTTCGGGAGCTGCATGCCCAGGTTCTGCTGCCGGCCTCAGCCGGTGAGTGAGGAGTCTGACCAGAGCCCAGGGAGCAGATCTGTGAACACCCTGATCCTGGCCTTGGCTCTGACCACTAGGCAAGAGCACCTGGCCACCCTGTATCATCCATGTTGCCAATAAAGCCAGGAAAGAAGGGAAGAGAGAGCCCTTCACCGAGGTCTGGACTCTGGTGGTAGGATCATGTGTCCCCTACCTACTTTTGCAGAGCCAGTGGCCTCAGGACTGCAGCCACCACAGACAGAGCAGGCAAGAGCTCGGCACTTGGAGGCTTTACAAAGGCAGCTGCAGGTAGAGCTGAAGGTGAAGCAGGGGGCCGAGAACATGATTCACACCTGTGCCAGCGGCACCGCCAAGGTAAGTAGCTAGTCTCTGATGGGGAGGCACAGGCCTGGCTTCCAATCTACCTGATGGGAGCCACTTAGCTCTCAGGTATGAAGAGTGCAAAGCCAGGCCATGTGCCAGTAGAGCAATGCCAACCCAGCCCTGGCTCTTCGTCTAATGCAGAGCTACAGTTGGGTGGTGAGGCAAGTTTCCAGTCCACACTCTGTAGGAAAGGCCCAACAGAAGTCTAGCAGAATAGCCGCCCGGCTGCCAGTCCCAGCTCCTTTCCACTCTAAATGTTCCATCCCACAGGATGCCCTAACACTTAGCTTGTCAAAATGGGGGTCGGGCTCTGCTCACCCTCTCCCCATCCCCATCACCTCATTCAACAAGGGAGGCTTGTAGGAGTTTGAACCTTGGCATAAGAGGAGGCTCAGCTCCAGGCCCTGGTGGTCTGCCGTTATCCCTGATCTGATGGGGGCGAGTGTCATGCCGTAGGAGAGGAAGCTCCTGGCAGCTGCCCAGCAGATGTTTAAGGACAGCCAGCTGAAAGTGGCGCTGCTGCGAATGAAGATAAGCAGCCTGGAGGCCAGCGGCCCTCCAGAGCCAGGTGAGGCCTCAGAGCAGGAAGGGTGGCGCCCCGGGGCCAGGGCTAAGGGCTCAGCTCACCTCCTCCCTGCAGGCCCCGACTTGCTGGCGGAGGAGCTGCAGCACCGGCTTCGAATTGAGACTGCTGTGGCTGCAGGGGCCAAGAATGTGGTGAAGCTGCTTGGTGGCCAGAGAATGCAGGATCGCAAGGCACTGGCCGAGGTCAGGCTGTGTCTCCCAGCTCGCTGCTCTTTCTACGGCTCTCTTACCTCTGTCCACCTGCTAGCGGTGCCTGCACCAAGGGCTTTCTGCCTGTGTAGGGCAGCAGTGAAGAACTCAAGGCATGGCTTGACCCCTTCAACCAACACCCCGTGTCTGTCTCTGCCTGCGTCTCCTTTGTAGGCCCAGGCCCAGCTCCAGGAATCTTCCCAGAAACTGGACCTCCTTCGGCTGGCCCTGGAATTGCTCCTGGAGAAGTTGCCTCCCACCCACTCTCTGCGCAGCAGGGTGACCAGAGAGCTTCGGACGGCCCTGCTTGGGAACCCCCAGCCTTTGGGGACACTTGTGAAACCCATTGCCCTGACAGGTAGGTAGCAAGGATTCCCTCTCACTTCAGAGGGCCCCTTACCCTTTGGAGAGGATCTGGAAGCATTTTAGGAAAGGGTTTGGTCCTACTGTGTGACCTTGGATAGCTCACATTCCTACTCTGATTCTCAGTTTATCCATCTGTAACATAGAAATGATAGTGGCTAGTTGTGGTGGTGCACACCTTTAACTCCAGAACTCAGGAGGCAGAAGCAGGTGGGTCTCTGAGTTCTAGCCTGGTCTATATAGTGAATTTCAGACTAGCCAGAGCTACACAGAGAGACCCTAAGTAAAGAAATGATAGAAATGTTAGTAGCGCCGACTCAGAGGGTTGCTTTGTAAATGGAATGACTGTGACTGCTTCAGCAGTGAACAGTCAGAGCTTGGCCAATGTGGATGTGATTTAAATGACTAAGGAATAAAGTAACAGTCAGCACACTCCCCTGGCAGCCTTGGGGGCCTGGGCAGCTTAAGCTATCAGAAGGTTCTTTGTTGCCCTGGCTGTCCTGGAACTCACTGTGTGGACCAGGCTGACTCAGAGATTCCTCTTGCCCCTGCCTCCCCAGCGCTGGGATTAAAGGTGTGCACCGCCACCATGAAGCCAGAAAGTTCTTTCATATGGAGCAAAGGTCTGTGTGCTTGTAGCAGGAGCTCACTGACAGGCAAGCAGTCATGTGAGCTGCAAGCTAGAGCTTGGCTGATGCCTGCTGCAGAACACAGTGAAGAGGGTTTCACAGAGCCCTGTTCTGTGTGGGCCCTTCACCTGGTCTTGGATCATCAAGGGGGGCTCCCTAGAAGAGGCGGAGTCTGAGCTTGACCTTGGCACCTCATGACTTATAGTCAAGTCAACAAGTTGAGAAAACAGAGAGGGAGCCTGTTTCTATAAAGGCAAAGAATTGCCAGTCGTGGTGGCATATGCCTGTAATCCCAGCACTCAGGAAGGCGGAGGCAGGTGGATGGCAGTGAGTTTGAGGCCAGCCTGGTTTACAAAGCGAGTCCAGGACAGCTAAGGCTATACAGAGAAATCCTATCTCAAAAAGCCAAAAAAAAAAAAAAAAAAAAGCAAAGAATTTGAGACTAGGGATTAGCCATGGGAGGGACTTGGTTAAGTTCTTGCCTAGTGTGCATGAAGCACTGGGTTCGATCCCCAGCACCATATAAACTGGTTATGGTAGCACACACCTATGATCCAAGGCCCTGGGAAGTGAGGCAAGAGAATCAGGAGTTCTTTAGTTACATATCTTTAAAAAGCCGAGAATCTATATCCTAGTTTGTGGCTGACACTCCATTTCCTAAGGTGTGCATATTGCCTGGACACCACCCTTAGTGTCTCTGTAAGGTCTTCAGGCCCAGTCTAGCAAAAAGGTGTTCCCAGACTCAGGCTTTGTCCTCAGGAGCTCCTGGCTTTCCGTTGCTTCCTCTCCTTTCTTCTACCCTTTGAGACAAAACTCCCGGCGATCTCATATTCTGTCTGCCTTCAGGACTCACCCTCACTGTTCAGATGGGAGCAAATAGGGTGGGCCACCAGGCTGCTGCTCGTGGCCCCAGGCTCCTGTGTACTTGAGGCCCTGGTGGTCCCCAGGCCCTGAGCTCATGGCAGCAGCTTGCCCCACCCTGTGGCTCCACACAGCTCTGCAGGAAGTCCTGTTCTTGCAGTGCTGCTGTGTCCTGCCCCCGCACAGGCGCCATCATGCTGAGCTTGATGGGTGTCTACCAAGGCCTGGTGTGAACATGGCTTAGATCAGCTGCTCCTAACTCCAACCTCCCTGGAGCAGGTGGCATCCCTCTGGGGTCCCGCAGCCCACTGGCTGCGGCTCCTGACAAAGTGCCCTTCCGACTCCCAACCAGGCACGCTGCAGGTCCGCCTCCTGGGCTGTGGACAACTGCTGACGGCTGTGCCTGGACGCTCTCCCATGGCTGCCCTGGCAGGTAGCCCGTCTGAGGGCTGGCTCCGAACCAGGTCCAGGCAGCAGCGTGCTGGAGGTGAACTAGCCAGTGAGTAAGGGGGATCCATAGAAGGTGGTGGGGCCCCCGCTCTGGATAAGCCCTGAATCCAAGCCTTGTCACCACAGGTGAGGTACTGGCTGTGTTGAAGGTTGACAACCGTGTTGTGGGCCAGACAGGATGGGGACAGGTGGCTGAGAAATCCTGGGACCAGGCTTTTACCATCTCCTTGAACCGAGTAAGGCTGGCCTTTGTGTGGACAGGGTTAGCTGTGAGCTACAGAGAAGGAGGCCACTCAGGTGAGGGCTGATGCCAAGCCCCAGTCCTCAGCCTGGTCTTTCTCACATAGGCCCGAGAGCTGGAGATCGGGGTTCACTGGCGGGACTGGCGACAGTTGTGTGGTGTGGCCTTCCTGAAGCTGGAGGACTTCCTGGACAATGCCTGTCACCAACTTTCTCTCAGCCTGGTGCCTCAGGGGCGGCTCTTTGCCGAGGTTCCCACTGACCCTTGACCTCTAACAGAGGGTCTTTAGGACTGATGCTTTGGGTTGGGGAGATGGCTCAGTGGGTAGCGTGTGCTTACTGTGCAAGCATGAGGACCTGCGTGCAGGCCCCTAGCATCCATGCAAACCCAGGTGTGGTGGCGAGTCTATACCCGCACGGCTGGCAGAGATGGACCCGGCTCACTGGCCAGCCAGTCTAGCCGAAACAGTGAGTTCCAGGTTCTGTGGGAGATCCTGTCTCAAAAACTAAGGTGTAAAGGCAGACACCCCAGTATGGTGTCAACCTCTGACTACATAGCTGAGCATGCCTGCATGTATGTGTGCGTGCATTGTAAAGACTGGCACCTCATGCCAGTGTGGGACTTGGGGACTGGAGATAGCTCCACAGGGAGCCTCACACCTCTATACTGACTTGGCCTTGCCTCGTCTGTCACCTTGAGTAGGTGCCTCTTCTGTGGGCCTCAGTCTCCCCACTGGTACCAGTGAGGATGAGCCTCTCATACTGTTTCATTCTATTGTTTTGATAAAATTCAGAACAAAAGCAGCTGAAGGGAGGGAAGGGCTTACTTCAATGTACAAATTTACAGCCTAGCTTTTTTCTTTTTTTGTTGTTTGTTTTGTTTTTGTTGTGTTTTTCTGAGACAGGGTTTCTCTTCATAGCCCTGACTGTCCTAGAACTTGTTCTGTAGAGCAGGCTGGCGTGGAACTCACAGAGATCCACCTCCTTTTTTCTCCTAAGTACTGGGATCAAAAGTGTGCTTACAGCTTATCTTGAAGGAAGTTGGGACAGAAACTTAATAAGCAGGAACTTAAAGCAGAAACCAGGAGGAACCCTGTTTGCTGGCTTACTCTCTGCCTCCCTCAGAAAACTATCTCATGTTGCTAGCTCTCTTTTGTAGCCCAGAACCACCTGCCTAGGGATAGTGCCACCCACAGTGTGCTAGACCTCCTGAATCAATTAACAGTGAGGACAGTCCCTCCCAGACATGCCCACAAGCCATGTAGTCCAGGCAGTTCCTCTCCCAGGATTCTGGGTGTGTCATATTGACAGTTAAAGCTAACTAGGCTGCCTCTACAGTTGAGACTGGGAGCTGGCACTTGGGGACTAGCCAGTGGGCTGGAAAATGGCCAGGCTTCAGCTCTGCCCATGTCCCTTTAGGTAACTTTCTGCGAACCTGTCATTGAAAGGAGGCCTCGGCTGCAGAGGCAGAGACGCATTTTCTCTAAGCGCAGAGGTATGGAGGGCGGGGACTGTGTGAGGAGAGGGTTAGGCTGGCCATCGTGATGGTGAGGCTGAGGCCCCATCTGCCTCGTCCAGGCCAGGACTTCCTGAGGGCTTCCCAGATGAACCTCAGCCTGGCAGCCTGGGGGCGCCTGGTCATGAGCCTGCTGCCCCCCTGCAGCTCACCGAGCACAGTCAGTCCCCCTAAAGGGCGGCCTCCAGCGGCAGCCTGCGGGACCTCCAACTCTGCCTCCCCCAGGTGAGCCACTTCTCTGCGCTTCTCTGCTGCCTCCAGGTTCTGTGGGTGTTTTGTCTTCTGCCTCCCACTCACCCTCTGAGCCTCCCTGTCCTTTCACTTGGCCATGCCCCTCCCACTTCTGCCTGGGCTGAGACACCCCCCCCTTTTTTTTTTTGGTTTCTCAAGACAGGGTTTCTCTGTGTAGCCTTGGCTGTCCTGGATTTACTTTGTAGACCAGGCTGACCTCGAACTCATAGAGATCCACCTGCCTCTGCCTCCCGGAATGCTGGGATTACAGGTGTGCACCTTGCCCGTCTTCTCCTTCGCACAGTAGCTTCCTGCCCACAAAGACTCTCTCGGAAAAAGACATGAAGCCTCCACCCAAGCCCCCGCGCCTCTATCTGCTTCAAGAACCATCCTCGGGAACTCCTGTAAGGGATTCTGGAGGTCGGGCAGACCCAGAGGCTGCCAGGAGGGAAGGAGGGGCAGCACTCTGCTCAGGCCTGAACCCATCTGTTCTCACAGAGCTTCAAGCGCCCCCACATGGACTCTAGAACTGGAGCAGTGCCCGCCATGGCGGCCTTACCCACCAGGTACTCACTGGCTTCCATTCATTCAGAGACTTCTGTGGGTTTTTTTTTTTTTTTTGTTTTGTTTTTGTTTTTTTTTTTAAAGATTTATTTATTATTTATATAACATTCTGCCTGCACACCAGATCTTACTATAGATCAACCACCATGTGGTTGCTGGGAATTGAACTCAGGACCTTTGGAAGAACAAGGAGTGTTCTTAACCTCTGAGCCATCTCTCCAGCCCGAAACTTATGTTTTTTAAAGATGTGTGTGTGTGTGTGTGTGTGTGTGTGTCTATCTGTCTGTCTGCCTGAATATGCACACCAACCTGTGTGGAAGTTAGCACACAACTTTTTTTTTTTTTAAAAGATTTATTTATCATGTATACAATGTCTGTGTACATATACAGAAGAGGGCACCAGATCTCATTATAGATGGTTATGAGCCACCATGTGGTTGCTGGGAATTGAACTCAGGACCTTTGGAAGAGCAGACAGTGCTCTTAACCTCTGAGCCATCTCTCCAGCCCAGCACACAACTTTTTAGTGATTCCTTTATGTTTTATACCTGTTGGTGTTTTGCCTGCATGTATGACTGTGTGAGGGTGCAGATCCACTGGAAGCAGAGTTACAGACAGTTGTGAGCTGCCATGTTGGTGCTGGGAGTCGAGCCTGGCTCCTTCGGAAGAGCGGCCAGTGCTCTTCTGAACCATCTTTCTAGTGGAGCACAACTTTCTGGGAGATAGTTCTCTCAATCCACTTCTGGATTTTTTTTTTTTTTAATGAAAGAGATTTATTAGATGGAGGTGGAGAGAGATAGAGGAAAGGAAAGAGAGAGACATGGTAGGGGTCCCCAGGAAAGAAAGCAAGGTAGAGAGAGCAAGAGAGGAGAGTAACAGAGGTAGGTAAGAGGGCAGTCCACTTCATTTCTGAGGCAGGGTCGAATTATTTCTGCCACTGTGCTTGCTGCTCACATACTTGAACTTCCAGCTGCTACTCCCCTCTCCACCTCCCACCACGCCTGAGGAATGCTGGGGCTGGGGCTTCAGATGTGTGCCAGCCATTGCATCTGGTCCTTTCTTTCTTTCTTTCTTTCTTTCTTTCTTTCTTTCTTTCTTTCTTTCTTTCTTTCTTTCTCTTTCTTTCTTTCTTCTTTCTCTTTCTTCCTTCTTTCTCTTTCTTTCTTTTTACTTTCTTTTTCTCTTTTTCTTTCTCTTCCTTCTTCTTTCTTTCTTCCTTCCTTCCTTTCTTCCTTCCCTTCCTTCTTCCTTCCTTCCTTCCTTCCTTCTTTCCTTCTCTCTCTTTCTTTCTGTCTCTCTCTCTCTCTGTACACTGTTGGCTCTCCTGGAACTTGCCTTGTAGAGGCAGGCTGGCCTTGAATTCACAGAGATGGCCTGTCTCTGCCTCTGGAGTACTGGGATTAGAAATGTGCACCACCAGGGACTGGAGAGATGGCTCAGAGGTTAAGAACACTGGCGGTTTCTTCCAAAGGTCCCGAGTTCAATTCCCAGCAACCACATGGTGGCTTATAACCATCTATAGTGGGATCTGGTGCCTCTTCTGGTGCACAGGTACACATGTAGACTGAGTGCTGTATAAGTAATAAATTAATTAACTAAAAAAATGTGTACCACCACTGCCTGGCTTTCATCTGGCTTTTCTAAAGTGGGTTTTGGGCATGGAAGTTAAGCCATTTTACCTGCCTGAGACTTACTCTTTTTAAAAATAAGGTCTTACTGTATAGCTGGCCTTGAACTTGTGACTTTCCTGGGTCTGCAGTCTTGGTGCACCACCACTTACTCATTGTACCCATTAGTTGGCACCTCACCCCCTGGCTCTTTGGGTTTACAAACTGGCTTGCTCAGTGTCTTCTTTCTGTGGTGAATGCAGTGGGGATAGCCTAAGCGGGGACAGGAAGGCCTGACCTCGGTCCTAGTCAGCTCCCTACTCCCTTTCTGTCTTGCAGGAAACCCCCCAGGCTTCAGGACTTCCGATGCTTGGCTGTACTGGGCCGGGGCCACTTTGGGAAGGTAGTGACTTGAGGGTGGCGCAGTGTGGTCAGTGGGGGGCGAGCCTGAGTACATTAGCTAGGAGACGCTGCGTTGGAGGGTGCTGTGTGGGGAGGTGAAGGCTCTCTGTCCTTCCTACCCAGAGCCTAACTCTTTCTGGTCCCCAGGTCCTCCTGGTCCAGTACAAAGGAACAGGAAAATACTACGCTATCAAGGCACTGAAGAAGCAGGAAGTGCTGGGCCGGGATGAGATTGACAGGTTGTATAACTGAGAAGTATCTAATGCCGGAACCCTTGGGTGGCTGGCCTGGGCTCCAGAAGGTAGATTAAGAGCCAGGTTCAGGTTCACTTTTTGGCACTGGGAAAACCCTCTCATCTTTTAGCACCTCGGGCTGCTCGTCTGTAAGTAGGATCATGGTAGTTTTGCAGGTTTGAAACCTTCCCCATCTGTGATCCATCAACTTGCTACCTTAGCACTTTGAGTACCCATTCAGCCAGAGGCATTGGGTGGATGTCAGGGCAGAGCCCATGGAGGTTCCATTCCATGTTCTCCCTTGCAGCCTGTACTGTGAGAAGCGGATCCTGGAGGCTGTGGGTTGCACAGGGCACCCCTTCCTGCTGTCCCTTCTTGCCTGCTTCCAGACCTCCAGCCATGCCTGCTTTGTTACTGAGTTTGTGCCTGGAGGAGATCTCATGATGCAGATCCACGAGGATGTCTTTCCTGAGCCACAGGCCTGGTGAGTTCCCTGGTTACTTGGCACTTGCTCCCTTTGGGTAGGGAGTACCAACAAGACAAATAGCACAGTTTGGAGGAGATTTGGTGGAACATTACAGCATCTGGCAACTCCTTTGGCATAGCTGTGGATGGGCTCTGTCATCACAGTTTTGTAAGGTTGCTCCAGGGATGGGAACCATGCTTGCACACCCCCAGCACGGGGTGGTGGCGGCAATCACGCACTTCATGCTCTGTTAGTGCAGTCAAACTCAGCGCATCAACTCTGACCCTAGTGTGCGACCCTGAGATCCTCATTTGATACTATGTATGTGTGGCCATGTGCAAGTGTGTGCAGGAGCCCTCAGCGGCCAGAAGAGGGTGCCAGATCTCTTGGAGCTGGAGTGGCGGTTTGTTGAGAGCCACCTGATGTAAGAAACCCAGTTTGGGATGGGAATTGGGACAAGGAGTAGTCCTTCCTCTTAAATGCTGGGCCATCTCCCCAGCCTCTCAGATACTGATTTGAGGGAAAGTCATGATGATTACCCCCCACAGGCTGCCCTACTGGGCATTGAACCCAGGACTTAGTGTATGGCAGGCAAGTGCTCTTACCACTGAGCCACATCCCCAGCCTGCCCTCCCTCTGTGTTTCCGTTTCTGTTTGTTTTATGTTTTTTCAAGGCAGGGTTTCTCTGTGTAGCCTTCCCTGTTCTGGAACTTGCTCTGTAGACAGGCTGGCCTTGAACTCACAGAGATCTATCTGCCACCTTTGCTTCCTGTTGCCACCATCACCACTGACACAGCCACCAGCCTTCTGTGTTTTGTTTTGTTTGAGTTTTTAGGGTTTTTTTTGTTTTGTTTTGAAACAGGGTTTCACTGTGTAGCTTTGGCTGTCCTGAACTCACTTTGTAGACCAGGCTCGCCTTGGGATTAAAGGTGGCATGCACCACCAGGCCAGGCCGTTTGTGTTTTTGAAAGAGGGTTCCACAACATAGACCAGGCTGGCCTCAAACTTGCTGTTGCCCTGCCTCAGCCTCCCAAGTGGCTGGGTTATAGCCCTATACCACTAGATCTACTGGCTCTGCCATACTTGAGCCCAGGAAGAACAGGTCACTAATCTATGGCAACCCTGGGATTCTTTGGGTCCTTCCATCCCTGGCACATTACTTTTTCTCATCCATGCCTGAATCTGGCTGGGGCCTTCTGGTGCCTTCTCGCACCGGGCCTGAATTCTCTCTGTACCACCCCTCAGCTTCTACCTGGCCTGTGTGGTCCTGGGGCTGCAGTTCCTACATGAGAAGAGGATCATTTACAGGTAGTCTTTGCCCAGGAAATGCCAGGGCAGGCCATTCCAGGGTGGGCCTTCGCTCCCCCGTGCTGCTGCTCTGCCCCATCCTCAGCCCTTCTTGGCCCCTCTGACCCGCACCACCCGCCATCAGGGATCTGAAGCTGGATAACCTTCTGCTGGACGCCCAGGGATTCCTCAAGATTGCGGACTTTGGACTATGCAAGGAAGGTGGGCCCCGCCCTGGAATCTCATCCTCCCACCTTGCCCAGGCCAGCCAGAAATCTCTTCACTCATGCTGTCCAGGCTCCCCAACCCTGGCCTTGACTCCTGACCCATGTTTAGGGAAACAGCTGTGAATATGAATTCTGGCTCTCCCTAATTTGTCAGAAAATCTGACAAAGTTAGGACTGAAAAGGGCATTTGTTCTTCCTTTTATGGTCTTGGCACATGAGTTTGGCAGAGACAGTTTCCTCTTAGTCACGGGCTGCCCAATGACCTTGGCCTAGAGAGTCTAGGAGACACGCAAGCCTTATTATTGGTTATCATAGAGGCTGGCAGCAATTGAGAAGTATGTATATATAAATGTATTTGTACTGCTGGATTTAGAGCCACGGTTTCACATATGCTAGGCTGAGTCACACCTCTATCTCTAGCCGTGATTTTATACATTTTTTTGTATTTAGAAATTTTGTGTGAGCCAGGTGCAGTGGCACACACCTATAATCCCAGCACTTAAGTGGCAGAGGCAGGTGGAGCTCTGTGAGTTCGAGGTTAGCCTGGTCTGCAGAGTGAGTTCCAGGACAGCTAAGGCTACATAGAGAAACCCTGTCTTGAAAAAAAACCAAACAACCCAAAACAAAAATTTTGTGTGTTGTACATACATGTAAGTCTGTGCACCAGATGCATGCTTAGTGCCTGTGGAGGCCTTAAGAGGGCTTCAGATGGCTTGAAACTGAAGTTACAGACAGTCGCAAGCCATCATGTGGGTGCTGGGAATCAAACGTAGGTTCTCTCTTAACCCCTGAGCCATCTCTTCAGCTCCCCTTCCACTGATTCTTATAACCCGAGGTTAGACCGAGCGGGCCACACCAAAGCAGGCACTGGTGTGGATGTCGGTTGCAGGGATTGGCTTTGGTGACCGGACGAGCACCTTCTGTGGTACCCCAGAGTTCCTGGCCCCTGAAGTTTTGACTCAGGAGGCGTATACTCGAGCTGTGGACTGGTGGGGCCTGGGTGTGCTGCTCTATGAGATGCTAGTGGGTGAGGTAAGTGCTGAGAGGGCTTCTGGGGTCTCTGGGGTGGGGACAGTGGGAGAGCCTGCACAGCCTGAAGAACCCCATTTCCACAGTGCCCATTCCCGGGGGACACAGAAGAGGAGGTGTTTGAGTGCATCGTTAATGCAGATGTCCCGTATCCCCACTTTCTGTCAGTGCAAGGACTAGAGCTCATTCAGAAGGTGAGTCCCAAGGTCCAGGGCTTGGCCAGGCACTTGCCTGAGACTCGTGTGTACCCTGCCAATACCTTGGGGACCTATGGCACAGCTTAAATAAGGTACCCATGGGGCAGCCAGCACCTGAGTGGCATGCCCCAGGTTCACACTTGCCCTGCTTCCTGCCAGCTCCTCCAGAAGTGCCCAGAGAAGCGTCTAGGGGCAGGAGAGCGGGATGCCGAGGAGATCAAGGTTCAGGCATTCTTCAGGGTAAGGAGGCAGGACCCAGCCTGGTGAGGTAGCAGGGCTGGGTGACCCCTGTGGTCTGCTGTGCCCACCTTCTCACACTCCTCTACGCTTGATCACAGACGACCAACTGGCAGGCCTTGCTTGCCCGCACCGTCCAGCCCCCCTTCGTGCCTACTCTCTGTGGCCCTGCAGACCTCCGCTACTTCGAGGAAGAGTTCACCTGCCTGCCTCCAACCCTGACCCCACCAGTCCCCCAGAGTTCCCTCACACCTCGACAGCAGGCCGTCTTCCGGGACTTTGACTTTGTATCTGAGCAGTTCCTAGAGTCCTGAGGGTCTCTTGACACCCCTGTCAGACTGAGAACCCTCTACTTTTCCATGTGCCCAGGGCCAGGGTATTTAATGAGTGTGTGGGCTCCAGTGGGCGTGGGGCTGCTGCTGGAGGCTTCCCTCGGTGTCCTGGAGTGAGCTGTCTCTAGCCCCCACTAACACTCTTCTACTTCCTGGTAGTACCCAGGCCAGGAAAGGCCCGACAGCAGCACAGTCCGCTTTGTTTTTTTAATACTTGCCTTTATAGAGCATTAAATTAATAAAACTGTACACTTGAGGTAGCCAGGCCAGGGGTTGTGGAGCGCCCCTCTCCCACTCATGTCCTTTTCTGCTGTGTCTTCCTTGGATGTGTGTGTGTGGGGGGGGCTCTGTCTGCTGTCTGGTGAGAGTTGGGAGCCCCGGGAAGGAGTAAAGAGCTCAGGCTGGTTGGGTTGATCCCTAGCTAGCACAGCCTCTGGTTTTCAGGCACAATGGCAGCCTTCTCTCCAGCAACCCTAGATAGTCTGGCTGCTGCCTTCCTCTTCTTCCTCAGCCCAGAGGGTCTCCCAGGACCCAGAGGGCCAACCACAGAAAAAGTGGGCCAGGTTTCGAGTCAGACCTCTGTCGAAGGGGTTGCTGGCGCGCTGGCGGAGGTATGCGATTCGGTGTGAGGATATGAACTCCCAGGTAGTGGCATTGCTGGCCACCAGGTAGAGGTGCGAGGCCAGGAGCAGGCCAACTACCAAGGAGAAGAAGGAAAGCAGCAGGAAGGTGGCGAACAGCAGCCCCATAGACCGCAGCCACAGGCCCCAGGGCTGGAAAAAATGGAGGCCAGACCTGGAGGACAGAGATGGAAACCCAGAGCTGAGGAAGGTAGGGGCACCAGGGTGTCCTCGCTCTGTGAGCACCCACGTGCATGCTGTCTACAGTACCTGAGGTACCTACCAGGCCAGGCACAGGCCCCACAGGAGAACCACCAGCTGCAGTGCCAGGAAGGCCACAAAGAGCGGGTGGTTTCGTTCACCCACACAATTCTCCATCCAGGGGCAGTGGTGGTCATAGCGGCGGACACAGCGGCGGCAGTCACGGCAGTGTCGGGCTCGAAGGGGCTGCTGTGGGCACAGAGCAGAGCTCAGGATCAGTGCTGGCTCCTCTGGTGGGTCATCATTGGGGAGAGGGCTAATGGCCATAGTCAGGGCCTGGATTTGGCAGGCCTTTCTGGAGGAAGCAAAGCCAAGGTGCCTTTTTTTTTTTTTTTTTAATGTTTTTTTTAGAGGCTTTCTCTGTGTAGCCCTGGCTGTCATGGAACCGCCGCTATTAGACCAGGTTGGCCTCAGATCCACCCCTGTCTGCCTCCTAAGTGCCGGGATTAAAGGTGCGTACCACCACGCCTGGCCGCTGCCTCACCCCTTTGTTAATGCAAGGACCCCCTCCCCCACATGAGTACGTGTGGTGTGCATCACCCACCAGCACCAAACAGTATCTGCAGCGCCGAAGTGGGATGGCCTGAGGAACCATGGCTGTCTGTTCCTCCTTGGGCTCCTCCTGAAAATGAGATAAAGGGCATAAGACTCGAGGGAGGTGTGCCTTCCTTGGGAGGCTGATGACGCTTGGGGCATCTCTTCTAGGCATCACTTGGTTCTGGTTGGGCAGGACTTAGGGCCCGTCTCATGTAAAAGGGAGGTCTGCACAGAGCAGAGTACTGGACACTTGGTGGCCTTTGCAAGGAACGTCTCCTCACTTGGGCCTTGGTGATTTCATCCTTGTAGGAGCAAAAACATAGGGTGAGCAAGAGGCTTCCCAAGACACCCCGACAATGTACGCAGGCTCAGGGCCTCACAGGACACCTTTCTGGGGCCTCGTCTCCCTGCTGGCCAGAGGAAGGGTCTGGACCTCATGGTCCCTGGTTACCTGAGGCTTGGGCTGGGTAGTCACGTAGCCGGGGTCCATGAGTGACACAGCCAGATAGAGCAGCAGGGAGTTCAGTACCAGGAACAGGAAGGTGAGAGGCAGGAACAGCTCCCCTTGCTCTTCCCATTGGCGGAGCTCTGGAGAGGCCAGAGGACAGTAAGGGCCCCAGCAGGAGGGGAAGGAAGGGAAGAGCAAGGAGTGGAGGAGGATGTGGAAGGGGAAAAGGGGTTCTCCCAAAGAGGAAGCCCAGGCTAGGAAGGTCCCAGCCTGTTTAAGCCCATGGTGGTGAATGAGGATTCTGGAGAGGTAGGAGGGCTGAGATGTGAAGGGTCATGTTGACACCAGACAGCTGAGTGTAGACTACCCTAGTACTGGTGGTTGAGAGCAGAGGAAGATTTGAAGGTAGCTGATTCCTGTTGCGAAAGCCTGAGGTTAAAGGGCAAAAGCAGTGGAGGAGGCTGAGGCTGAGGCAGAGGCCTCGGTGGGGGCTGTTGCTTCACGCAGGGCAACCCCGGGTAGGGGCTGCTGGAGGAAATAATGGGGAAAGGAGATGGCTGAGTGAATGCCACCAGGAGAAAATGGGAGGCTTGCTCCTGGCTATAGTGGTGTTCTTTTGGGCAGTTAGTCATGTCATAGGGTTTGGGGAGTTGAGCAGAAAGCCAGTCCTTGAGTCTAGTCGATTTCTTGATCTTACTCAGGGAGAGGATAGGAAGCAATATCTGGGAAGGATGGGTGGCGCCCAGGGCCTCTAATCGGTCCTCGGATTTGATGGGCGCTGGCGGTCCCTGGATGGACATGTCGGCTGACAGGAAAATCCCGGGATTAACTAGGGGCCAACTTGGGTATCGGGCAGAGAGCGGCGGCCTCTGGACCAACACATGAGAAGGACGCTTGAGGAACTGGCAGAGATGGGGTGAATCTCCATGTGTCTGAGGATTAGGGGGACCCGGTGAGACCCACGCAGGAGGCGAGATTGGGTGCTTGGGGTCGCGCGGTATCTGGCTCACCGGTATCGTGCAGGAAGAGCACCAGAGTTATTCCCCAGGTCAGCACGGTGTGCCCTGTCCGCACCAGCACCCCTGGGCTGAGCAGCGCCCAGAACGCCATGGCCTTGGACCCCGCCTCAGCCCACCCGGAAGAAGCACGCAGAAGGCGGGGCCGTGGGGCAGAGGGGCAGCGGCAACGCGGGATTGGTGGTTCGGCATTGGGGGCGGGGCCAGAGAGGCTTAGGGAGACTGTCTATTGGCTGGCAGCCGCGGCCCCTCAGTCCAACAGGTGCCGGAGGAGGAGAGGGGCGGGCCCCGCGCGCACAGCCCGTAACTCCCCAACTCCGTCCCGCCGAGGGCCAGGTAACTTTGCAAAGCCAGGGAGGCGGAAGCCTGAGAAGCGCCCCACCCCGGCTTGCGCATGCGTGCCGGCCTTTGGCGCCAGGAGGCCACGCGGTGCTCTCAAGGGGTGATGGGCAGGGTTTGCACGAGCGCCTTGATGACACACTTGCCTCCTATTCGTTTTCGGATATTGCAAACGGATGATGGGAAAGGGGAGGGTTTTGGGGCTGATTCTGAACACGCATGGCAGTGCCAGGCGTGGAGTCAGAGAACTCTTACGTCCCTTGCCTTTTGAGGCAAGTTACTGAATTTCTCTGAGCTACTTTCAATGGGATTGGTGATAGTACCCTGCTCCCACCTCGGCCCAGACAGACGTTCTCTTGTGTTCCTAGGACCTTGTCCATTCAGCTGACTTCCACTTACCCCAGCCCCAACCCCAGTATTCATGCTCTTGGAGAATTGTTTTGGTCAAGAAGACATCCCTTTTTCTGTAGGGGAACTGACTTCCCAAGGCCAGCATGGCTCTGGAAAGAATGATTGTCCCTCTGCCTTATGTGTGTGTGTGGGGGGGGGGTATAAAGGGCCAGTCACAGCACTCCATGAGATTACCAAACAGGTTACTAAACTCTACCATTGGTAGAGTTCTTGTGTGGCAAGAACTAAGCTCTGGGTTCGGTCCTCAGCATGGCATAGAGTATGGTGGTGTACGCCTGTAATCTCAACAGGCAGGAGGTAGAAAACTCAAGGCCATCTCCAGTGCACATGGGAGAAGGGACTCAAAGCCAACTGTGTGACATGAAAACTTGCCTCAAAAAAAGGGGCTGGGCTGCCCACATTTTTAATCCCTGCACTGGAACAGAGGTACACACCTTTAATTCCATGGTTTGGGACACAGAGATGGAGAAGGCCAACAGCTGGAGTTCCATGCCAGCGAGAGCTGCATAGTGAGGCTGTCTCAGGGGAAAAAACTAAAGACAACAACACACACACAAAACCCCTTTTGTGTGTTAGTGTGTGAGCGCACATGCAGATGCCATGGAAATGAGAGGATAAGCCTAGCTGTTGTCCTCTCCTGCCACGTGGGTTCTGGAGGCTGATTATTTTGGATGTGTGAGTGTTCTGCCTGACTGTATGTCTGTGCACCATGCTCATGCCTGGTGTCTGTAAAGGCCACACGAGGGCATCAGATCCTCTTAACTGTATTTACAGATGGTTACAAGCACCGCGCTGAGTGCTGGAAACAAAGCTGTGGTCCCTCGGAAGAGCTGAAAGCACAACCAGACATGGTGCGTGCCTGTAACCCCGACACGCAAAGGCAGGCCTAGTCTAACATATTTAGCTTCAGGTCAGCCAGAGCTACATAGAGAGCCTTGTTTTTTTGGTGGGTAGGATGAGGCAGGTGGCTCTCTCAGTTCAAGGCCAGCCAGGACAACAGAGGCACCCCATCTCAAAAAACCAAGGGAAAAAAAAGCAACAAGTGCTCTTACCTACCAAGACGTCTCCTCATCCAGTAGTGTTTTTGTTTTTAGTTGTTGTAAGACAAGGGTTTTTTCTCTCTCTTCTTTTTGTCTTTCGAGATGGGGTTTCTCTGTGTAATAGAGCCCTGGCTGTGCTGAACTCACTTGGTAGACCAGGCTGGCCTCAAACTCAGAAATCCGGCTGCCTCCACCTCTTGAGTGCTGGGATTAAAGATGTGTGCCACCAAGGCTGGCTGCTTGTTTTGTTTTTTAAATTTTAAAGTCAACCAGGTGGTGGTGGTACACGCCTTTAATCCCCAGGCCCAGAAGACAGAGACAGGTAGATTTCTGTGAGTTTGAGGCCAACCTGGGCTACAAAGCAAGTTTCAGGATGGCTACACAAAGAAATCGTGTCTCAATAAAACAACAACAAAAATTCCTGTATCTATTTGTGTTTTTCGGTGGGGTTGCAAGAGGCTGGTCTCTTCTCCATGTGGGTCCTGAAAATGGAACTCAGGTAGTTGGCCTTAGTGGCAAGCTCCCTTACCTGCTAAGCCACAGGTAAGTTTTCAGTAAGAGTCCTGGATGGGTGGGCAAGAGGCATGGCTCCGAGGTCAGCCGGCTAATGCCCACTGCTCTTCCAGAGAAAACTGGTTCTCATTACCCATGCCACATACCTGTGGGTTGCTGCCCTCTTCTGGCCACCATGGGCACTGCACACTCACACAGAGTAACTAGAATAAATCTGAAAAGGGCCCTGGATGGCTGTGTTCTGACCCTCTGCACGGCTGATGTGCTGTTCATCGTCCTATGGATCGGCAGCGACCATAGCCTCAGCACCAAGAACTAGCCAGGTACTGTGATGGAGTGAGCAGGAAGTGATGTTGTGAAATAGGGAAGAGCAGGCACCTGGCTAGAAACACACAGTGTGCCTGGGAGGCCTGTGCTCTCTCCTTTGCTGTGGGAGCGTGATGTGAGAAGTCAGCTTACCTCTCGAGTCCATGCACCCACCTGTGGATTGCTCCAAGGAGCATGAGAAGGCTTAGTGCACAAGGGAAAACCCAACACAGATGTGCACACAGATGGAGGCTTCAACAGGCCATGACAGCTACTGCTCCCTCCCGGACGTGGCTGACCCACTTGGCTGACCCCCTCAGAGTTCAAGGGCAAACCAACATCTGTAATGCCCTTCTGGCTAGGCCCTGTGATAAAGGGCATTCATCTATGGAAGAGACTGGTGTGGGCTCTGCTGAGGGGGAAGAGAAACCTCTGTCCCACTAAGAAGTGCACAGCCAGCATGCCAGCTCCCAGAACTGTTCAATCTGGTCCTGGCACTCCTGCCCGAAAGCTCTCCGTGGTCTGGAGAGCACTTGACTCAGAAGCCTGTGAGAGCAAGGACTGCTCAGAGTCACACCAGGACCCAGAGGTCAAGCAGGGCTGTCCTGGCAAAGCCAGATTTGGGTCACTTCAGGTTTGTTGCCAGCTGCTTAGCTCTGCCCTCCACACACCTTTATGTTCCTTTCAGTGGTTCATCTCCATGGGACTGTCTCCCTGTCCGCCATGGCAAGGCCCTTTGTCAGAGATGCTCTCCCTGGCAAGTTCCACCTTTCCACCAGGTTCAGCTCAGCCTTGTGTGTGACCCCTTGCTAACTCTTCCCTCTTCTGCCTATAGGCAGTTAGATGATACTGCCTAGCAGCTATCAGACTTTGTGAGCCATGTCCATTCCCAGCAGGGACAGGAGGCCCCTTTCCTATCTTTGCTGCAGAGTGGTGAGTTTATGTATACCATGTGTCTCTCCCAACAGGCTGTGCCATCCCAGCAGGGGCTCTGACGGTCTGGTGGGCAGTCATGACTTCAGTGTCTAGGTACAGGGATGTGGAGAGGATGTCACAGACACCCAGCTCACCTCAGCCTGCCACCTGTCCCCAGCCTGTAGGCACATAAACCTACCACCCACACTCCAGGATTCTCCTAGGAGATCGTTAGCCCCTTTCCTGAACCCCTGCACTCCAGACCAGTATCCACTAATCTCTGCAAAAACAAGACAGCACTCTTCTGCACGTTGCACAAAAATGTATTTCTGTGACATCCCAAAGTACAGACATTTCCCCAGACCCCAGGCAGTAAAGCGATGGGATGTGAACTCTGCTCAGGTCTGGCTGCTGCCAGAAGGGCCTGTGATGAAAAGGAGGGGCTGAGGTTGCCCAAGTGCTGCAAGGGAGAAGCACATGGCTACGCCCTCTACCCACTGACCAGGGAGTTTCCTCTGGAAAGGTCGGTCTCCTCTCCCTAGGTTCAAGGGCAAACCTGTAGGCAGACATGCCTGGAAAATCAAAGGACAGGCCCAGGGGAAAAAAGAGGACAGAAAAACCACACCAAAGGCTGCCTCCAGGGTCAGCTTTGCTCCCCAAGCCTTCTTGTGTGCACAGGTCTCCTAAGTAGCTCTGTGTTAAGGAGAAGCAATGCTGGGATAGTGAGAAGGTGCACGAGATGCCTAGAGAGTTGCCTGTCACTCAGGACAGCAGCTTCTCAGGGACTGGGCTGGAGGGACAGAGGGCTGTCCAAGTGCTGGTCTGGAGGTGGCTTCCCGCTGCCCCTCTGAGGCTGGAGTGGGAGCTCCTGCCCTGGGAGGGAGCTGCAGTATCTTCTGGGCAGCGGGTGGGCTCAACTCAGCTGCTGGTGGGAGAGACTGGGCACTGGGGGCTGTGAGCAGATGAGAGCTACAGAACAAGGAGCAAGACCCTGGTCCTGGAAGGTGCCAGCTGCCAGAGCTGGGGCGGTTTATGGCATGTTTGGCAGAAGGGGCAATGAATGAAATTGCCCCTGAGTTCTGACCATCTCTGGGCTGGAGCCTTCAAAAGCCTGAGGCCTGAGGGAGACTTGAGGCAGCCTCCATAGCAGCATGGCCACAGGTAGGCCTGGCCAGAGAGCAGTGGGCCAACTAAACCCTCCTTCTCCAGGGTCCTCTGGACAGGATCTGCTTGGCCTGAGGCCTGGAAACAGCTTACTCTCTGGCCCCAGAGGGCTCACAGCCTGGAGCACCAAGGCTTCTGGGAGACCCAGTAGGCTAGTCGTAATCTCAAACCTTATCGTCCTCACCCTCAGGCAGGGATCAGGGATGTTGAACAGCCTGGTAAGGGCCAGCTCCTCCCATAATAGACAGAAGCCAGGCCAGAGTCTCAAATCACTGGGAAGGGATTGGACACTCACAGCATTAGAGGCAAGCCTGGCTGGGGCAGGAGTGAACATGGCAGCAATAAAAGCTTGGAGGCGGACTGAGAGTGGCAAGGAGCTGCAAAGACTCAGGAGAAGTCATACACACAAAACTTCACACTTCCTAACCAAAAAAAAAAAAAAAATAAAATAAAATAAAATAAAATAAAAAATAATAATATATATATATAATATATATATATATATCTCACTAACATTTAGGAAAAGCATCAGCTGTGCAAAAGTCCTCACTGCCTCTTCATCCTGTGGGAGGCTCTGGAAGGGACCTGCCCACTGGACCTCCAGTGCTTCCTTCCGGCCCGTGGTCCGAACTGTGTGGCCTCTATCTGGACGTGTCCATGTTCTCCTCTCTAAAGTTACTGCAGTGCTCAATCACCTTGCTGGACGAGACGGGAAAGAGCATGGGAGGGTGGCTAAGGAGAGCAGGTCCTCCTGGGCCCACAGCTGCTTACTAAGCCTTAAGAATGACCCTGACAGACTTGAATGGTGTGTCAGTGGCTGGCAGAGCACCTGGGAAATAATGCCTGTGGCCATGACCACTGTCACTGCCCTCAACCTGGGAAGGGAGGAAGTCCTACAAGCAGCCAGCCTTACCTCCCAAACCCTGTACAGCAGGCCATTCTCTTGGCAGAGGTCCACAAAGGAGCCCCAGACAGGCTGGAGGGCTGCACGGGCAGCTATGCTGGCTCCAGGCCTCAGTGTCTCAGCCCCGCCTGCTCCCTGAGGAAACTGTCACACACTGTGAGACCTGTTCAGTTCTAATGCTTTCCAGGTGACTCCGAGGGAGACTAACTTCAAGGACCAGTTTGTCAGCTAATACTGAAACAGTGCCTTTACCAAAAATAACGAATGGCAGAGCCAGCTGATGCCTCCAGCCCAGAAGGGCATTTTCAGGAGCTGAGGGTAGGGAGTTGTCTGAGCCTCAGGCTATACTGTGCTGGTAATTATCACAAAGGACTATCCTCCCAAGAGAGTAGATTCAGGAGGAGAGAGGAAGGCCAGTCCAACTACTTCTAACATGGGAGGTGTGCATTTTTGTGTATGCCTCGGAGAGACAATCAGAGCTGATGCTTAACACTCGACAATCAATCGCACCGAGACACAGAAGGCTGCTGAGGACTCTGGCATGCCCCATCCTTCACACTGATATTGTGTTTGTGTGTGTGTGTGTGCATGCGCACACGTGCTATGGATGAGGCCTTGCACATACTAGGTAAGGGTTGGACCACTGAGCTTCATTGTAGCCAATCAAAGGGCACGTGTTTCCTGGTGACCTTCACCTTCACACTTGCATTCAGATAAACTAGCACTGTATACATGTGGTCTCGAGAATACACCTCACCACACCGGTCCTTTTTCATTGGAATAACAATGATGAAAAATAATGCAGAGCTCTTCCTAGTGCGTAGTGATGGATGAGGAGGGTTCTTTCTCAGTGGGAATCAGAGGAAGCTGACTGAGCAGCTGAGAGCACACAAGCTCCACTGACAGCTGAACCCGTCTCTGTCATCCACGGGTGAGTGGTGGAAGCCCCTGCCGGACACCCATACACTGTCTGTCCCACACTCAGCCCTGAGGAACTCCTCAGGGCTTCAGCCATTCGCTCTGTGCTCCTTGCCCTCCACAACAAGGTACCCAGTCAGGAATGCATAGTTTTCTCTTACCGGGCCATCTCCTTGGTTTCCTGCCGGGCAGTGGCCATCTTGATTAGGTCCCTCAGCAGGGGCATCCCGCCTTCTTTAATCAGCAGGGGGCAGTACTTGTCAGCTACAAGGTAGGAGCAGGGAGCTGAGGGTGGGTGGCCTCTACCAGCCTGTGCCCCGACACCCACCCTGCTTCCAGAACTTCTCTATAGTGGGGGAAGGATGCTGCTGGGAGGGAGCAGGGACCAGCCAAGTCTGCCCAGCCTCCTGGGTCCACCGGGAGGGGAAAAGGGGCAAGTTTTTGGGAAAGATGCTTCCCTATGGTTGTCCAAAGCTTCCCCAGAAATTGTGGTTACAATTTCTCCAGAGTTTGTCCTGTGGAAACTATCATCCCAAGCATAGACCCAAAGCATGACACCCTCTGAGAGGCTTGTATCAGAACACAGGTCCTCAGGGAGTTCTGGAACTAGAGGCCCCAGGCAGCAGCTTGCATTTATGATATTGTCAGTAAGACACCGCCAAGGTGACTGTGGTGACCACCCAGGCTGGAAACACAGGTGTCCTTCTGCCCTGCAAGTGGCAAAAAGACTTGGAAGTTCACTCACAAACAGGGTAGGAAGTGTGAGGAAAGACGCAGGGTATGAGTGGGGTCGCACCTGATGGTTCAGTGGGCTAGCCATCACACTGGCATCCCACCAATGCCACAGTGCAGAGGGCTTAGTCCTGAGGGACAAGGCCAGCAGTAACTCTGTGCCCCCTCATGTGCCAGCTTCCTGTGCACATGCTGTGTTCAGCTGAGTGAGTGTCTGTACCAAGGGACGGGAGGAACTCACGGTACACAGACACGAGGTTGTACAGGGCCCAGGTGGCCCAGTGCTGGCTGACTGGAGAGATCCCCTGAGGAAGGAGGCGCAGAATCGGCTCAAAGGACCTGTAAGGAGAGAGACCACTGTTACCTCCGAGACAGGAGAGGGTCTGACTCTTCTCCTTTGAGCTCTCGCCTTTGCAGGGTCCTAAGTGCAGCATGGGCGAGCCTGTAGGATGCCAGGGGTCCTGCTGCAGACTACCCAGGAGCTCGCTCTGGAGAAGATCAAACTCAGAGTAAAGGGAGGAGGGCAGAAAACTGGGGGTCTCAGCAAACAAGAAAGCCAACTGTGGTGAGAAAGGGAGAAGCCCTGGGATTAACCTACAGTGACTCTAGGCCAGGTTAGAGTTCTAGCCCCGCAAAAACCTGATCAGCAAACCTTCAGAGGGCCCCTGAGCTTCAGCTCCTGTCCCCCAGGGACCTGGGGCCTGGGCAAAGCTGCACACCTGGCCCATCCTTTCCAGTGAGTGTCTAACTTAAATGGCCAGCTGCACTCAGCGTGGCAGGAAGATAGGGGCTGACGTGGTGGCGACCATGCACTCACAGTACAGTAAGGACTGAGGCCAGCCTGACGGGGGCGGGATTACAGGTGACTTGTGTTTGCTATGTTTTTAGTTCTCTACCAAGCATGCATAGAATACAGGCCTTGGATACACACAGGTGTTAATAAATGGGAAATGTGCCCATCACACACTGGATCTTACAGTGAGTGAGAGCAAACGCCTTTGGAGACCAGGACCAGGGTGGAAAGCTCTGGCCACACCATGTTGGAACAAGCAGCTTCTGACTCTCCATGCTGTGTACCTTCCCATCTCTGACCTGTAGTTGATATTCCTTCGGGAGTTGATATCCCAGCTCTGGATGGCCGCCCACATACGCTCCTCCACCTCTGCCCGCTGGGGTTCACAGACACCCCAGGCCTCAGGGCCATCGAACATGATGTGGGAGAGGACACCACAGGCATTGTAAGAAACCTCAATGCCGTCGGCCTTGCTTTCCAGCAGGTTGCTGCCAGGAGGGAGAAAGAAATGCACTTGTGGAGCCAACTAGCCACCTGATGCCAGAGGCTCCATCACTGCACTCCACCTGCTTCAACCTCGTGAGCGCCAGGATTACAGGTCTGTACCACTGGTCTCAGCTGTAAGCTACATGGGTCTTTTTGTTTGTTTGTTGCTTCTGAGTCAGGAGCTCACGTAGTTCAGGCAGGCCTGGAACTTGCTATGTAGTCAAGAATCCTGCCCCATCTCCCAAATGCTAGGATTACAAGCTCCTGTCATCACATCTAGCCACTTGTTATTCAGAGTCCTTCAAAAAAGGATGTGACACTAATACCTCCTGTGGCAGGTTGAGAAGGGGATCAGTAGTTAACAGCACACACTGCTCTTTCAGAGACTGGACTTCATTTCCCAGCAGCCATAGTGGCTTGCAACTGCTTGCACCCTCCAGCTCCAAGAAGACCCAAAGCCTCTGGTCTTTATGGGCAACTGCACTCATGGGCACATACCCACCCCTCATATACACATAATTAAAAACCAAATCAATTGAAAGCAAAAAACACGTCATAGTTAGAAAGCAGTATCAATAACAGAAACCTAGACTGAGCACAATGTGTCCACAGAGTACACACAACTGTTCTGAGGGTTCTGGCAGCCCAGGAAGGACCAACCTGAAGACGCTGATGAACTGGGAGGTCATCAGCTGAGGCCGTAGCTCCTTCACCTCTGCCACATTCCCCAAGAGCCCGAGCATGTTCCGGTGCAGCTCCTGCTTCTCTGGGAACTCCTGGGGAACAAGAGCCAGCAAGGCCTTTGTACTCTGTCACTTAATGTCTGATATTGTTAACCTGCAGGTTTGGGGGCCCTTGACTGGATGGCCCTTCTAGATAAAGGAGAGGTACAGCAGGCTGACCCCAACTTTCCAGTGTTCCCATGACAAGAGGCTGAGAAGAAAGCCAACCTCAGGGACAAACCTGGCTTCATATGCCACAGCTCAGAGTCTTTTTGGGAAGCCCTTCAGAAGCTACAGCAAAAACCTGAGACCTACTTTCAGGACAGAACTGTATCTAGCTGGCAGGGAATGGTCTACGGGCAATCAGAACAGACTGCTGTGAACACAGGCTGGGGGTTCCCTGGCAGAAGGGATCTCAGGAGGCCCAGCTGGGTGGCATGGCCAATAGGAGGTCCCTGACACTTCTCTCAGCAGCAAACACTGTGTGTGTGGGTGGCCCTGAATTGCTCATGTCCTGTGTGCATTGGGAAGCTTGTGTGGGATGGGTCTATGGGGTAGTAGGTGGCAGCCCTGGCAGTGCCTACCTTCAGGCAGTCGAGAAAGAGCTTCATGCCATTGAAGTTGAGGAACATCTCGCAGTTGTCCGGTGTCTCGTCTGTGATGTTCCACAGGGCACTCCAGGAGAACTCCATGACCTGGTCACACTGTGGGGAAGGATGGCTCAGCTATGTCCTCCTGCAGACACATGTCAGCCCTGGCCCTGGGGCTCTGGGGCGAGGGCAGAGTGAGGGATGCTCTGCTTACCGTCTTGTCCAGCAGCTTCTTCTGGATCAGCTTCAACATGGTCTGTGGGCAGAGGAGAGAGGCTGCCTGAAGCCTGAGCCCAGCAGCCCAGCCAGGAGGGAGCCACTGACTGTCCGGGTGATGCAGCCTGGACAGGGCAACTCTACAGGGCTTTGGGAGGCTGTCTGAAGGCAATCACGAACACACCCTTGCTCCCATGCTATGGGCTGTACTTCCCCAGGGATAAAGTGAGGGTGGCAACGGATGCATCGAATTCCCAAACCTTCCTTTCCTTCCATATTTCTCCTGTCCCATGTGCTACACCAGGAATTTATTCATACCAGGCCAGAAAGGCATAGTGACGGAGGACCAGCCCTGGGTCTTTTGTCACAGGGTTTACTGCATGGAGCTGAGTGAAGTAGTTAAAAGACAGAGAAGGCCACACAGTCATAAGCAATAGCAACATTAAGAAATTCTTCTGAAAGCCAGGCATGTTGGTACAACCTTTAATCCCAACACTCAGGAAGCAGGGACAGGTGGATCTCTGAGTTCAAGGCCAGCCTGGTCTACAGAGCAAGTTCCAGGACAGCCAGGGCTACACAGAGAAACTCTGTCTGGAAAAACAAAAAACAAAAGAAATTCTTCTGAGGTGGGCATGGTGAAGCACACCTTTAATAGCAGCACTCAGGAGGAGGTAGAGGTAGGTGATCTTTCTGAGTTTGAAGCCAGCCTGGTCTACACAGCAAGCCAGCCATGGCTACACAGAAAGACCTTGTCTCAAACAAACAACCAACAACTCTTCTGGGGGACTGTAGAGATGGTTCCGTGGTTAGAAGTATGAACTACTCCTTCAGAGGATCCAAGTTCAACTCTCGGCACCCATGTGAGAAGGGTCATGCCACCTGTAACTCCAGCTCCAGGTGGCTCAAACAACTGTGGCCTCCACTAGCACTCACTGACACATAATTCAAAATAAGAAAGGAAAGAAAGTCTTAAAAGTATTAGTGTGAAGCTCAGTGCTGGGGCACTTGCCTAGCACATGCCAGGCTCTGCATCCAATCCTTAGCCATCCCCTCCTCCACCGGTCCCTGAAGCCTTCTCTTACCCGCCCCTACCCCACAGCCCAGGTCCTCCTGAAGCCTCACTCACAGAGGACAGGATGGCAAGGGCGGGCAAGCACACATACCACGACGAAGCCCATCTTGCCCACAGCCTCCTTGTGGTCATTGTCCACCTGGCAGACTAGGGCATTGCACAAGTGCACGGCAATCCGCTGGATGGACTCGTCCTGCCGGGTGGGGCTGAGGATGCCGAGCAGGAGCTCATTCACCCGGCGGTACTGGAACTCCAGTTCCTCGGGGATGCTGAAGTTGCAGAGGGTCAGACAGCAGTTCCGCTGCACCTGGGCCAGGTAGGGGAACACGCAGAGCCCATTCAGGGACAGATCTGGGACTGGCTCCTGGCCGGAGGCCACCCAGTGCTGGGGAAGCTCTCTGGAAAACGCGGCTCCCAGGCTTTTTGGTCTGTTTGGGCTTGGAGGTTTTTGAGATGGAGGTGAGGGTCTCACATAGTCCAGACTTACTTCAAGTTCAACATGCTGCCAGCAAGCTTTCAAGTCCCACCTTTCCGACTCAAGCCCTAAGACCTGGAGCTACAAAGATGTACCACCATGCTCAACTAAGGCTTGTTGTTTTGCTTCACATTTCTACCAAGGTTACTTCAAAAAACGTTTTTAAAAACATGAAATTTTTGTAAGGTATATAATCATTTTTTTAAAAAACTCGTGCTGGGTGCCTTGGCACATGCCTCCCCATGCAGAGGCAGGTGGATCTCTGTGAGTTCCAGGCCAGCCCTCTGGTCTTCAAAGGGAGTCCAGGACAGCCAGGACTACACAGAGAAACCTTGTTTCAAAAAACAAAAACGAAAACAAAAAACTATGTAACCACTACCTCCGCTAAGAAACAACACTACCAACATCCAGCCCCTTCCTGATCCCTTAAATACATATTTTATGTTTAAATTGCCTGCATGCATATATACCATGCTCTATACACACACATACACAAACACACACACACCATGTCTTGTGCTGGAGGAGGTCAGAAGGGGCTGGATCCCTTGTAATTGGAGTTACATCCAATTGTGAACCAGCAGATGGGTGTTGGCACTAAGCCTATGTCCTCTGTAAGGGTAACAAGTGCTTTTTGCTTTGTTTTCAAGACAGGGTTTCTCTGTGTAGCTCTCACTACCCTGGTACCCACTCTGTAAATGAGGCTGGCCTCGAACTTAAGAGAGTCCTTCTGTCTCACCCCAGGCTTTAAAGTTTAATGGCAACCCTTCTAATGTTTACACAATACTGCTTGTGCAGAAAGCTAATGTACTAGCTCCTTTGTTTTTGTTTGTTTTGTTCTTTTGCTTTTTCGAGATCCGGTTTCTTTGTGTAGTCCTGGCTGTCCTAATCCGCCTGCCTCTGCCTCTGCCTCCTGAGTGCTGGGATTACAGGCGTGCACTACCACTGCCCAACAACTCCTTTGTTTTTTTGATTTTTATTTCATGTATGTGGGTGTTTTGTTAGCATACATGTCTGTGTACCACATGCATGCAGTGTCCATGGAAGCCAGAAGACGGGGCTGTATCCCCTGGGACTAGAGTAAAATGATTGTGAGATATGGGATTTGAATCTGGGTCCTCTGCAACAGAAGATGGTGTTCTTAGTTACTGAACTATCTCTCCTTCCATCATTTTCTTGATTTTCTTCTTGAGATAGGGTTTTCCTCTGAAGTCCAGACTCAGTCTCACCACAGCCTCCTGAAGCTGGAACCATAGGCAAGGGCCAGCATGCCTGATTTCCACATAAGCCACACTCAAACACACTGATGTGCACCATGCCTTTAATCTCAGCACTCCTAAATACTAGGATTAAAGGACCAGTGTGGTGCACATCTTTAATCAGTGCTGGAGGTAGAGGCAGGCAGATCTCTGTGAGTTTGAGGCCAGCCTGGTTTATGTAGGGAGTTCCAGGAGAGAACTACAGAGTGAGACCCTGTCTCAAAAGAGAAGAAAACACAACAAAACAAAGAAGGCAGCAAGTCAAAGGAGAAACTGACTCCCCAAAACTGCTGTCTGCCCCATGTCACAGCATGTATGTCACTCCCGAAATTAAAAAAAAATTTTAATTAAAAAAATTGTTTGCACATTCACACCTCACAGAAGCAAACATCCACATTACACAAACAACAAACAGGATGATGCAAATGACCCATTTACTGAATTCTCATGCTCAGACTAAATTTCAGAATAAGGGGTGTCAGTGGAAGGCTCTATGTGTGGTTTTCATGTCTTTGTATCTGTAATGTTCTTTTACTATTTTATAATTAAAAACAGGTATCAGAACCCTCCCCCTAACAGTAAGAGGAACAGAGAGGCAGAGGAGACGTACATCTAGAGCTCAGAGGGCAGAGGTGGGATGGCTGTGGGCAGTGGGCTGCAGTTGAGGGCAGCTTCTGGGCCCTGTGTGCCAGGGGAAGGTTTCTGGGACAGTGGCTGTGTGAGGGGAATTGGCAAAAACCACTTAGGCCTGGGGGACATGCATGTCTGGAACCCTGGGAAGCAGAAAGGGGTACTGGGCCAAGGCATGCAGGCCACAGCAGGCAGGGGGCTCACCGTCACCTCCTGATAGGACTCCATGCCATTCAGCACCACCTGGATGACCTGCCGGCGTAGCTTCACGCTCTGCTCTGAGCGGTACTCAGAATTGGTCAGGTAGAAGAGGGCAGCACTGCCGGTCACTTGAATGTTCTTGTCATACTTGTGGCACTTGAGGGCTGTGATGACCAGCTGTGCGAAGATAGGGTGGGGGCTGGGGCTGAAAATGCTGCCAGAGGCGGGCAAGGACAGCTTGGGTTCTATGAGTCACCACGGCTCCTCTGGGAAAGGCTGAGCCTAGTCCTACTCTCCTGGGTAGAAGTGAGGAGAACAGGACCTAAGGCAGGGCCTCAACAAGTTGGCAGGGAAGCCAAGCACTGCCAAAGGGGTAAAAGTTTAGAAGACAAAGCTGCCTATTACCCTGAAATCAAGAGTGGGTGCAGAAGGAGAGAGAAGGGGGCAGGGATATCTGTGACCCTGAGGGTCTTGGGGTCTGAGCTAACCTTCAGGGCCCGCAGAAGCTGGTTGCAGCGTTCAATGCGTGCAATGTCAAAGAGCAGGTTGATGGCCCTAGAAGTGATCTCAGGCCGGTGTTCTGTGTAGGCCTCGATGGCGTTCAGCACCTGCTCTTCATTTTTGTCACCACTTACCTAGTGACAGAACATGTTCAGGACAACCCAGAAGAGGCCAGGTAATGGTGGCTGCCCCCAGACTCAGTGGTGCTCCAGTACCTGGCCACTTCTTCCCAAGCCCCGCCTCTTACTTTGTAGGCTGGAATGTGCGTGAGGCGACACAAGGAGGTCTCAAAGAGCCCAAGGAACTGCAGTGGCCTCTTCAGAGCCCGAAAAGGCATGATGCTGCTCTTGGAAGGGTCAGTGCTGGGAAAAGAGCACACCATAGTTGACAACCTGGTCAGACCTAGCCTGGGCTCCTTCGTGGACTGTGGTTCATCCACAGAGATGACAAAGGCTTCGAGCTTCATCCTGTTCCTGCCCAACTCACTGTGAAGCTAAGACCGGCCTTGAACTCTTTTTTTTTTTAAAGATTTATTTATTATGTATACAATGTTCTCTCTGCAGGTACACCTGTACTCCAGAAGAGGGCACACCATGTGGTTGCTGGCAATTGAACTGAGGACCTTTGGAAGAACAGCCAGTGCTCTAAACCTCTGAGCCATCTCTCCAGCCCTGGCCTTGAACTCTTGATCCTCCTACTCCCACCTCCCAAGTTCTGGGATTACAGGCATGGGCTTCCATGCCTGGTTTATATTGTTAGGGATCCACCCAGGGCTTTGTACATGGTAGGCAAACACTCTACCACCTGAGCTACATTCTCAGCCCTCACAGTTTGATGGAAGGGTGGCAGGGCACAGTGTAGAACTTGGATGAGAGTTCCTCCCACTGCCACCTTTGAAAGGTACCACCTGCCATTCTAACAGGGACTCATTTCAACAGCAAAGATAAACTCCTCTGCCAATCACAATTAAATATGGCTGGGGGAGGGCTTGAGGCCAGTCACAGTGGCTGGCCTGGAATTCGATCTCACCACCAGTCCACAGAGGTACAGGTCATCCATGGCCACACCTGAGAGACAGTAATACCCTACCAGCTGTTTCCCCCAGCCCATGCCTGCTGTTGCTTTTTTCTGGGGCATTCACCTATGGCCCCAAGTTTTGGTACATGTTGACCCCGTGCTGACATGCGATCTCTTCAACAAACTCACAATGGCGTAGGGCAGCCCAAGTGTGACCTGAGCTGGTGTCCAGAATGACTGTTCTTTCCCCATCAGCTCACATAGGCCACAGCAGGCAGGGCCTGACTTCCGTCTTTCTTCCTTTATGTTAATTTCCTCAGTGTGTGCTAGTGCATGCTTGAGTGTGAGCGCTCATGTGGAAATCAGTGGACAGTTTACAAGAGTGGGTTCCAGGAACAGAAATCGGGTTGTCAGCTTTGGTGACAAGCACCTTTACATGCTTAGCTATCCCACTGGCCCTTGACTCTTTAAAAAATGAATTATTTTAACTTTATGAGGTTGGAATTAGAATATATGCTGTACTCTCTGTGTGTGCCTAATGCCTGTGGAGGCCAGAGGAGGAACTAGACTTAGAGACAAATTGTGAGCCTTCATGTGGGTGCTGGGACTCAGGCCCTCTCGAGGAACAACACATGCTCTGAACTGATGAGCCACCTTTCTCTTCTTGAAGCTATGCAGCCCTGGCTGGCCTTGAACTCATAGAGATGAGCATGCTCTGTCTTTGGTGTACTGGCATTAAAGGTGTGCATCACCATGCTGGGCTCAACTGACTTGCTTTCTATCTCTAGCACCCAGCAAAGTACTTGGCACAGGGCTCTTGGTCAGGGCTTGCAGAATGACATCCTCTCAGCAGGCAAAGAGCTGGGCACCCACCTGGTCTGTCCTGCCTCCTCATCCATCTTGGAGATGCTGCAGTTCTCTAGGATCATGTGGCCAGAAATGTCCAGAGACATTAGGTTCCCCAGCTTCTGCACCAAGAGGCTGAGCACCTTCCGAGTCAGCTTGAACTTGTAGTAGCTGGAGAGGCGGTCTCGGGAGATGTCCAGGTGGCTGGAGGTCAGGTGGGGCCACAGATCAGGGTTTTTTTTCCTTCAGGCCACAGCAGGGGAGGGCCCATGCCTGTCACAACTTCTCTAGGGAATTCTGGGGGAAAACCCTGCTGAGACTCAGGTGCCCTAAATCCCCTTTCTCCAGCTCCAGTATGTGGTGTAAGGAGTGGGCTCTCTCCCTCTGTTCAAGGGTTCCCTGCTGTGGCTGATGAACCCAGGACTGACAACACCTTTCTCCACCCTCTGCCCTCCCCCTGCTGTGTTGGATGCTTGAGGGGGCAGCTCACCGAAGCTTGTGTAGCTGGACAATGACCCGGATGTGGTCTTCTGAAAGGTCCATGTTGTAGAGCACAAGGGACATCAGACTGTCCTTCCACTGTGTTAGGAAGGTGGCATCGCTTGTCTGGATGCCTGAGAGGTCCAAGGCAGCCAGTGAGTTGAGTGGCCGGAGCAGTGAGTCCACAGGGACACCGTCAATCATGCGGCCCAGGTTGAGGAATCGCAGGCGGCTAAAGCCCTCAAAGGTGAAGTCCTTGACCAGCACCTGGCAGGTGGGGTTGACGAGGCACTCGTCCTCACAGCCCCCTGGGTTGTCCTCCTCGTAGAAGATGTTGGCACAGCCGAAGAGACTCAGGGACACCAGGCTGTGGCTGAAGCTCCGCAGCGTCTGCAGGCTCTTGGCAGACAGCTTCTCGCAGTTGGTCAGGTATAGCTCCACCAGGTCCTGGAGTACCACAGCAGCCTCAGCTCCTCTGCCCACCCTGTGCCACCCCAGGCCTGGCTTCCAGGGGTGGGTGGAGTCTCACAGCATCAAGAGGCCTCACCTGCTTTCGGATGGCTTCCAGGTCCTGGTCCTGCACCAGGTCCTCCCGGAGGTGGATCCTAGTAAGGCGAGTGCTGCGGGGATCTGAGAAGAGGCTGAAGAAGGTCTCGTGTGGCTCAAAGGTGCAGGCGGCACTGACCAGCTCCACATATCTGGGAAAGAAGCAAACCTGGCTCAGGGAGTACCTAGGAGCCTGGGCTGCCTTCTGAACCCATGTCACATGCCAGAGGGCTTATGAGATCACTCAAGCAACGACCACCTCTGGTCCTCTCTTCCAACACCTGCTTAGATTCTGACTATACCATATGCCTCAGGGGACAAGAATCAAAAGATGGTCCTCAGGGCAACAGCAAGCCCCAAACACTTCCCTTCAGCAGCCTAAACGTGCACCTGACACACAAGTGTCTTCCTGTCACAGACACATCCCATCATGCCAGGTCTGTACCACCTCAGTCCAGACTCATCTTTCCTTAGTAGCCTTCTGGCACCTTAGGGCAGGCAAATTAAGTAAAATGGTTTTGAGCTTAGAGCGGGGTGCTAGGCAGAAAGGAAGCTGTCAGTGTAACCCTATCTAGACAAGACACCCATTTATGCAGAAATCCTGGGCTAGGGGCTTGGAGAGATATCTAGCTATTAAGAGTACTTGTTCTTAGAGAGGACTGGTGTTCAGTTCTTAGCATCTACATGATGGCTCTTTTTAAAAAAGAAGAGCCAGCCTGGGGTAGGGGGTGGTAGCACACGCCTTTCATCCCAGCACTCAGGAGGCAGAGGCAGGTGAATCTCTGAGTTGGAGGTCAGACTGGTTGTAAGTTTTAGGACAGCCTGGGCTACAAAGAGGAAAGCCTGTCTCAAAAGACAGAAACAAAAACAAAAGACAAGAACTGGGCAAGGTACTGCACATCTTTAATCCAGCATGGGAGGCACAGCTAGGCAGATCTCCGAGTTCAAGCCTAGCTTAGTATCCTGGTCTATGAAGTGAGTTCCAGGTCAGCCAAGGGTACACAGTGAGACCTTGTTTGTTTAAAAACCAAAACCAAAACCAAAAAGGAAGGAGGAGGAAAGAAAGAAAAGTTGTGGAAGCTCTAAGCACTATGGAACCCAGATCATGGATAGGCTGCTTCCACCTGGGAAACAAGTAACTGAACTTCCCTGGACTTGTCATCTGTGAGATGCACTGCATTCTGGTATAAGCGATTGTGTCCAACCCTATGCCTGGCCCACATCAAATACTGAGAACAGCATCAGGAGTCTCAGCCCTTAGTTTCCATGTGGCCATGAAACTCTTTTCCCACTGGGATAGCTGGTATACAGCCAGGCATTCAGAGAGCATGTGCACACTGTCCTATAGGCACCCAAAGCAGTGGGAGTCCACCAGGAGGCTGTTTAAAGACTGGATGATTCAGTCTCTGATCACAGGCCTGTTGTTCTGGTCTCGGCACACATGTAAACATACATGTGCTTAGTTCAGAGGTACAGGCACAGGTGTGAGCACACACACAGGGTAGCACATAATGCCCTGATTTACATGCAGGATTTTATATTAATTCATCCTTAAACACACACATACTGCTTCACACACGTTCTGTGGTACATAATGTGTGTATGTGTGTATGTATGCCCATTCCTTCATGTGTGCCACCTATGTGCACACACCAATGCATATGCAACCATATCTCTGTGACAACATGTACACACCATTATTATCCCTCACTGTCACACTCACAGCCACTTCTCCATTGTGGTTGTCTGAACACACAATCTTGATCTCCAGCTCACATTTCACTCCCCACATTTGGTTCCTCCCCTGCCCCAGTCCCTTGCTCACTCATTGACCAGCTGGTCACAGATTTCGCTGGGCAAGAAGATGTCTGGATGCCGCAGGGTCTCCTTGTCTAGCAGGTAGCCCAGGGTGCCATCAAGATTTCGGAGACAGAAGTCAGTACAGAGGGCCATCAGGGACTCAGGTGTGTCGGACGCCATGCTGGGAGAAGGCAGGCGGCAGGCCACTCTAGGGAGAGGGCCCACAGGGCAACTATAAATTCCCAGTAATCACAAGATCATTGGCAGAGCCACAACCTGGGAAGAAGAAAAGAGGCCAAATGAGCTGCAGATGAGAGCCTATATCTCACTTTTTGAGTGGGGAAAGGGAAGCCCCATCCATCCATCACATTCAAATTAGCAACTTAAAAGGCTGTACAAACTTGTAACCCCAGCACTTGGGAGGCAAAAGCAGGAGAGCCAGGAGTTCCAGACCAGCCTGAGCTATAGACTGAGTCCCTGACTCAAAAAAAAAAAAAAAAAATTAATATTATCCAGTCACAAAAAGTATTCATATAACACTGGGCCACGATAACCGAAGAAACCAATTACAGTCTATGGAATGTGCAGCCACAAAAGGCAAATCTACATAGACAGAAGGAGATGAGTGTGAGGGGAAGTGGGAATGACTGCTCCTGAAGATGGGGTTTCCTTTGGGAGTGATGCCAGTGATGGGGGCACACTGTGGTCCCACGTAACCACAGACTGGATACTTTAAATGGCTGGAATGCATGGTGTGAGTTACACTGAAACTGTTAGTTTATACAGTGAAGTCTTGCCAGCTGGAAAGATGGCTTGGTGGGTAAGAGCATCATCTACTGCTCTCACAAAGGCCCTTGGTTCAATTCTCACAACTAACCAGAATTCCAGATCCAGGGCAGGCAGTGCCCACAGGGCTCAGGAAAGAAATTGGGTCTCCTAGAACTGAAATTACAGGCACGTGTGAGCCTCTGTGTGGGAGCTGATAGCCAAACCCAGGTCCTCTGCAAGAGCAGCAATGTTCTTACGACTGAGCCAGTTTTCCAGCCACTCCCCTAAGATTTCTTAACAGGCCTCAAAAAATGCCAACCATAAGGGAGAAAAGGTTAAACTGGTTAAACTGGTATGCACTGGAGCGAAGAAATTTCTGTTCATACACAAAGTTAATTCCAAATACACTACAGGTCTAAAGTAAAGGGCACATTATGACATAACAGTAGGCAAGGACTTCACAGAAAGACTCCGACAGACAGAAAGACTCCGATAGACTGGGCCTGGCAATGTGCTTGCAATCCCAGAACTTGGGAGGAGACTAAGGTACAGGGTCATGAAGCTCAAGCCTAGGAAGCATAATGGAGATTCAGGGGACTGAGGGGGAAGGGACTGAGGAGGGGAAGGAGGAGGAAGACAAGGGAGCCCGACTACACAGGCCTAACTGGTCCTTCCTCCAAGCGGACCCACAGAGTCTTCACTGTCCGCAGTCACATGTGCACCACAGTTCAATAAAGAAATTAAGAATGGTTGGCACCAGCTAGGCATGGTGCTGCACACCTTTAGGCCCATACATTCAAAATACATAGACAACATTATAGACTAGTGAGAAGCACCAAGGCGCCAGTGCCAAGGTGGGCAGACGACCCTAGCAGGCACGCAGTCATCTTGCTCCATCAGGGTCAGGGAAATGCACACCAAACCATAATGAGATGCCATTTCCTATTGCCAAGCAGCTCAACTGTAAACATCAAGCACTGGTGAAAACATGGAAGTGCCGGTGGGAGTATAAAGTGCTGTTCAACTGGGATTGTTAAACAATACTGACTGACCCTGAGCAGGACTGTACTTTGAAGGGTTCGCAAGTCTGCCTGCAGGAATATACCCAACAGAGATGCATATGCATCCCTGCAAATAGGGTCATGGTATTTGCCATGCAAGCCTGAGGGGAGTTCAAGCCCTAGAGCCCACAGTGGAAGAGATAGCAGACTCCCAGAAGGTGCCCTCTGACCTCCACACAGGGGACTGTGGCAGGTGCACACCCACATTCTCACACATAGCTAATAATAAATAAAACTTCAAATGTTCAAAGCAGTATTCTACCTGATGGGCCCTAAAAGAAGAGACCCTTGACTGTTTACTGACATTGCAATGGATAATTATAGTATATATTTTGCTTAATTATCACACTGCAATGAGAATACAGTCAGCAACTTGGATGACCCTCACAGTGTGACAAGGACAGAATCAGAAACAAGAAGACACTGTGTTTGCTTCAGTTACATTCCTTTCCGTTAATACATGAGGAAGTCTACATAGGGATACGACTGTCTCCTTAGCAAGAATGTTTGGGTCCATGTGTACGCCTGAAAGGATGTTTCTTGGTATGGATGGGCTTCGGGTCCTTCCTCTGAGCGGACCCACAGGAGTCTTCACTGTCAACATTCACAATATACTATAACTCAATAAAGAGATTAAAAATGCTTGTGCACACCTTTAGTCCTAGAACTTGGAAAGCAGAGGCAGGTAGTTATCGGTGAGTTCAAGGCCAGCCTGGTCTACACAACAAGCTCCAGGGCAGCCAGGACTACACAGAGAGACCTTGTCTCAAACAACAAAGCAACAAACAAAAACATGACTGACACCAACCAAAGGGGTCCACACTTGAATGGGATCTGGATGCATTCTGGTGATAAGCCAGTTACTACAGCATCATACTGGCTGCAGTAATTGCAAATGGAACCTTCATAATATCTTAGAAACAATTTCTAGGGGCTGGAGAGATGGTACAGTGGCTTACAGTGTGTTCTGCTCTTGCAGAGAACCGAAGGTTGCTTCACTGTGTAGGTTCTGTGCAAGTACTGTACTATGTATAGAACAACTTGAGCATCTGTAGATTCTGGTACCTAACCCAGCCTTCAAATCAACGTGGACACTAAACTTCAGAAAAGTTTTAGTGTTCTGGAGTTGTAGTGCAGTGAGAGAGCCAATGCTTACCTTGTTTGAGACTTTGGGCTCAACCAACCTCCAAGATCCCACCCAAAAGTACAGGTTCTGTGGTCAGACACAGAGATCTCTGTTCTGATTCGAGTCTGTACTTCACTGGTAAACAATGTCACCTCTAATATCATAGTGTTCTCATCTGGAAAAATGAGGATGATAATTTTCCTGCCATGGCTGGAGGAGTTGGGGAGACAGTGCTGGGAAAACATTTCCCACAGCACTCAACAAACATGTTTGACAGATAAGGATACTCAAGTTCAGAGACTCAAGGTTACTCTGTACAAACTGGTGTCTTTAGCTCTGTCACATCATCCCTTAGAACACTGGTTCTCAACCTTTGGGTGTTGGCCCCTTCGAGAGGGTCAAACAACCCTTTCACAAGAGGTCACCTAAGACCATCAGAAAACACAGACATTTACATTAGAATTGTTGAGAATCATCTCAACAATAGCAAAATTACAGTTATAAAGCAGCACCAAAAAAATTTAAGGTTGTAGGTTACCACAACATGAGGAACTGTATTAAAGGGTCCCAGCATTAGAAAGGTCGAGGACCACAGCCTTAGAGGAAGGCTCCAAAGGGGTGTGGGCTCAGCACTGCCCATCTTTTGGGTATCCTATGTGCATTCTTGAGCTTTCTAAGCTACTGAGAACTTGGAGCAAGAAGCAACATTGCCTGCACTGGTGAGGTGAGGCAGGAAGATCACACGTTCAGGACCAACCTGAGCAACTTAAGAAAACCCTGTATTAATAAAATAAACACACAGAGTAGGTAGCTCAGTGGTAGAATGTTTGTGTAGAACGTATGAGACACTAGGTTCTATCTTCAGTGGAAGCTATTCATTTGCTGTTGCTTTTTTTTTTTTTTTTTTAATGTATAGTGTTCTGCCCAGCCTGCATTTGTGTCTGCAAGCCAGAAGAGGGCACCACATCTCATTATAGATGGTTGTGAACCACTATGTGGTTGCTAGGAATTGAACTCGGGACCTTTGCAAACACAGCCCGTACTCTTGACCTCTGAGCCATCTCTCCAGCCCCTGCTTTTTTTTTTTTTTTATATTTATTTTATAGACAGAATCTCACTATATAGACCTGGTTGACCTGGAACTCTCTAGATAAACCAGGTGGCCTTGAACTTATAGAGCTGCTAGAATTAAAGGCATGTGCCATTATGCCCAACCCTAATAATAATTTACAGTGTGTGTGTGTGTGTGTGTGTGTGTGTGTGTGTGTGTGGTTATGCACATGAATACAGGTGCACATGGAGGCCAGAGAGAATGACAGAACCCCCAGGCCACAGTAAGCTGCCTGGTGCAGGTGCCAGAAACTGAACTCAGGTCTCTGTAAGAACAGTATGCACCTTTTTTAAAATAAATCAGTTAAGACTGGTCTAGTTCCAAGACAGCCAGGTATATACAAAGAAATTCTGTCTTGAAAAACCAAACCAACTAACCCAAATCAAACACCCCTAAAAAGCATAGTTAATTTTTGCTTTTTAAAAAAGATTTATTTATTATGTGTTCTGCTTGCATGTACACCTGCAGGCCAGAAGAGGGCACCAGATACCATTAAAGACTGTATGAGCCACCATGTGGGTGCTGGGAATTGAACTCAGGACCTCTGGAAGAACAGCCAGAGCTCCTAACCTCTGAGTCATCTCTCCAGCCCCAGTTAATTTTTTCTTAGGTTTCTTTCTATTATTTTAGATATGTGTTTTGCTTGCCTGTATGTTCATGTACCACATGCATGCCTGGTGCCCTTGAAGGTCAGAACTGGGCACCGGGTTCCCTGGAACTGGAGTTACGGATGTTTGTGAGCTACCATGTGGGTGCTGGGACTCAAACAAGTATTTTTAACTGTTGAGCCATCTCTGAGGCTCTGTTATTTTTCTTTTCTTTTCTTTTTTAAAGCAGCTATTATGATTCCCATTGCCACCTTCTGCCAGGCTAACCCTCACTTCCCTGTCAAGTAGAATCTGTCCTCCCTTGACCCTGGCCTCCCACAAGGCCCATGTTTCAGCTGTCCCAGTAGCAATGTAACAATCTCTGGGAATGGCACAAATGGTGGTTTGCCTGGGCCTTGGGATGACCTTCCTCACTTACAGGCTCTCAAGAGTATGGTCTTCTGTCTGCTAATACCAGAGAAAGCAGCATATCGAGGCCAGCCCTGCTAGGGACCACCTTTCTGGCCTCCTCAGTTCCTTGACCCCTCTAGCCTACCTCCTCCACCGAATGGCAAAAGCCCCAGGTCTAGTCACCTGCAGCCCCACACTAGGTTCTTTCTCTG